AGAGGGTGTGGGGCTGCTTTGAGCTTGGAAGTAGGTATTGGCTTTGTTCATGCCTCGGGACAGGGATGGAAACCCAAATTGTGAAATCAGTTTTCAGCGATTGGGAAATCCAAGGGCATCTGCAGTGCAAGGGTGGGAGGTGACAGGGACACTCTGGAGGCAGGTGGTGGATGGTGAGAGGTGATAAACCTGGCTGGGCACAGAAAAGCTCCCAGCTCCAGGCTCCCCACTCACAGAACCCTCCTGGAGAGGGAGACCAGGCTGCTGGTTTGCTCATGGAGTGACAGAGGTGGTTGGCACCAAGAAGAAAGGAACCCTTTGGCTTGGCCAGTCCTTTCCAAGGGGAGGAAAAAGCTGAATCCCCCCTTTCAGAACACAACCCTTCCCTCCAGCTGCTTCAATGCTGTCAGTGAGAGATCCAGCATGAAAAGCCAGCCCTGGGGAAAACCTCCAGGAGAGCAGGGTCTGCCTCACTGAGCAGAGGGAGATGCCAATGCCCACCTTTTTGCACCCCCAGGAGCATCTCTGGGGCTGGCACATGAGCCAGGTTTGTTCCCCTTCCTGAGGAGCAGCAGCTCTGGCCATGGAGCCACAGGCACATTCCTGCTGAGCCCCTCACGTGCCTTGGCCATCCAAGGGGAGAAGGGCCTTGCTGGGCAGGCAGCTCAGGTGCTGGGAGCACTGGGAGCACTGGGAGCAGCCTTCCCAGTGCCTTGCTGGCTCACTTGCCATGTCCAAACAGCTCCAAAAACCCAGGAGAGCCCAGCTGGCTCTGCTGGAGCACAAAGCCCCGATTCATCCACTCAGGTGCCTCTGAGGCTCCTGAGAAGAATCATCTCCTAGAAACCAGCCCCATTTGGACCTGGCTGCAGCTCAGGTACCACCCAGCCCCGGGGGAAGCTCTGGCAGTGGGAGGGGAAGCCTGGCTTCCCCTCCGGAGCTCTGTGCCTTCCCTGAGCTGCAGCCAGTGAGGAATTCAGGAATTCTCCTTGGCAGCCCGCAAAGGAGGTCCAGCTGCATCCCACAAATGTGTTCCAGGGCTGAGAGAGCTTCATTTGTCGTGGGACCACAACGAGAGCAGCTCACTGTGCCTTGGGGAAAACCATAGGATGCTGGAAAATCACCGAGAGCCTGATCCAAAACCCCTCCTAGGCAAGGCCAGTTTTCTCTGTCTGAACTCAGGCATTAACCAACCATCCTTTATCCCTCCCTGGAAAAGGGGGGAGAACAGTATGTTTATGCATCTCATGACCTGCCCCTATCTGGAAATAAGCAGCAGGCTGTGGGCTTGGAATTGAAATGTAATTTAAGTTGCTGCTGATGTTCCAGTCCTCATTTCCCACAGCTGAGCCTGGTGCAAAAGCACGTCTGCTCCTCCCCAGGCACTTCTGCCCAGGCAGCCTCAGCACACACAGACAAGTCCCCTTGAGCTTTGATTCTTCCACCCTCTGTGAACAAAGCCTGTGTCTAAAGCTGTCTTTGTACAGCCTGGCCAGAGAGAGAAAACCAGGAAAGCCTCAGCCAAGGTCCAGGTGCAGCCACAGCAAAGGAGGGAGGGAAAAAGGTGCCTTTTGAATGTTCTTTTTTGAGCTGGAGCTGAGCACAAGCCAGCTGAGAGCCAAGGGCTGAGGTACCACCTGAGGAGATGGGAATGAAGAGCTCACAGGAACTGCCCAGAGGGGATTTCTGAACAACCAAGGGCTTGAGCCACCAGCCAGACCCACACTCCTGGTTCCAGCCACCAGCCAGACCCACACTCCTGGTTCCAGCCACCAGCCAGACCCACACTCCTGGTTCCAGCCACCAGCCAGACCCACACTCCTGGTTCCAGCCGCCCCTTCCCTGAGCTCTGCCCATCGTGTTGTTGCTGAACATCCGAGATGCCAAAACACTGACCTGGTTTTGCTTCCTGCACCAGAAGTTCCCACCTCCCCACCACCAGCCAGGCTGCCAAAGTAAGCAGCTATTGCAAATACTCAAACTTAATATTTACATTTGGATTCAGCACAGGAAGCATGTGTTTTCCCACTGCTAAGGGCAGTGGGAAAGCTGGGACCACAGGCTGGCATTGTATTCCCTGTCACTGCAGGGTTGGACAGCGAGGCTTCAGGGCACAGCTGGATGCATTTGATGCCTCAAAATGCCCAGAAACGTGGCCTGCACAAGCTTGGTAAGTCACCCTGGGGACAGGACATGGAGGGCTTTGGCCAATCCCAACTTACCAGCCACGCTGGAGCAGCCCCTGCTTCCCACCCCAGTGGACATTTGGGATAACAAACAAACCAGGCCTTCAAAGGGAACCACCCACAGCATGCCACAGAATTAGTCCCGGGCACAGGAACTCAGCCCTCAAAATTAAAATGTTAAAAAAGGTTAAACTGGATGCAGGGAAAATGTTGTCAGGTGTACTCAGCTCTGGGTGTGGGACCACTCAGCATCTCCGTGCCAGGTCTCAGGGGGTTGGGGAGGCCCTGGCAGGGGTTGCCCAGGGAAGCTGTGGCTGCCCCATCCCTGGGAGTGTCCAAGGCCAGGTTGGACAGGGCCTGGAGCAACCTGGGCTAGTGGAAAGTGTCCTTGCCCATGGCACAGAGGTTGGATCAAGATGGTCTTTAAGATCCATTCTAGCCCAAACAATTCCTCAGTTCTATGAAATCTGATACAGAAATGGAAGCATTTCACCAGAGGACTTCTGAGCACCATTATCTGCTCATTCAGTGTCCCCAAAACTGGAAACATTTGGTCCTTGCTCTCCCAGCATCCCCAGCCAGGGGCAGTTTCTCTCTCCTGGTGCTGTGAACTTGGACATGCACAGAGGAACTGTCTCCTCCACAGCAGTAACCCCCAAAGCAGCAGAACCCCAGCACAAAGTGCCTCCACACCCCATTGATCACCTCTGACAGCACTCAATCCTGCAGGACTGGAGCAACCTTTGGAGACAGCCAAGCCTCAGGAAGCTGGCATTTCCTCACTTCCCTCAGCCTTTCCCTTCCTCCCAGCCACAGCATCCCAGGAAACGTGGCTGTGGAGCAAAAAGCCTGCCCTGCAGACAAGGGCAATGCACAGGGCAGCCACCAAGAACTCCAGGCCCTGGGAAACCCTTTTCTAGGGGAAAAAAAAAATAAACAGGGAATTTGGGACTTGTGGAATCGGCACTAGGGGTGTGAGATTTATCCTCCCAGATCTTTATGGCACAGCAAAGGCTGAGCACCGAGGCAGAGGAGGGGCAGCATCACTCAGATGCCAGGCACAGCTCATGATCCCAGGAGATCCAGCTGGGGCAGCACCAGGCCATGCCATGAGCCAGGGGGAGAACAGCATCAGCCAGGGATCAGGCAGGGCAGAAAGGTGCCACAAACACCTGGCAGGTACCCTAAAAACCTGCTGGGCAAGAGGAGAAAGGCTGGGGGAAAAGGACCCGAGCAGTGGTTCAGAACCAGGAGCAGCAAATCCAGCACAGGTGGAAAGGATGGAGCGACAGATGTTGGGAGCAATCACCCCCCCAAAACACACAGACCCCCCCAAAATCCAGCCCACGTGGCTCTGCCCCCTGTCAGGTTCCTCAGGACTCCTGCAGTGCTCAGCTGGCAGCAGCATCCCAACCATCCTGCTGTCCCTGGCACTTCGGTGCCCCGGGTGACTGCCCAGCAGGGTGGAACCAGCAAGGTAAGGGCAGCACAGGCGATTTGCCTGTGGGCATGGGGAGCTCTCCCAGCGCTGGGAATGAAATCCAGGGCGCCCCAGCTCCCAGCCCTCTGCTTTTCACCCCATCGCCCATCGGCGTGTTTTGTAACTCCGTGTGGCACCGCCCCGAGAGACGCTGCCTCTTCCTAAACTTCTTCACGCTTTGAACCAGCCGCTCACAAAACACAGCTCGGCGCTCGCAGGGGAGGGAACAGCCCCCCAAAAACACATAAACCAACGGAGCCCCCGAATCGCGGAGTTACGGGAATGTGCGGGAGGAGAACGTGGAGCTGTGACACGTTCGGGAGGTGGTCGTGGCAGCCCCTGCCGTGACCCGGCCGTGCTGGGTCCTGCAGCACCACCGAGCACTCCCTGTCCTGGAATCGATCCCGGCTCCCGGCCCGGAGTGAGCGGCAGCTGAGCGGCTGCTCCCGGCCCCCTCCCTCCCCAGGGCTGTTCGGAACATACTCGACTTGTAACAGCAACAAAGGCTTTTCCAGGTCACCTTAAGGCTGTCTCGGGGAAAGGACAGGCAGGAATGAAGAACCAGCCGTAAGAATCCCCCCCTGCCCTGCAGCGCGGGTGTGTGTGTGTGACCCAGCCCGTCCCCTGGATGTCCATTTATCCCTTCTGAAGCCACAGCGGAGAAGGAGAACCAAGCAGGGACGATGTCCCCAAGTCACACAGGCTCTGCCACCACCCAGGAAAACACTGAAGCAACAGCGTCTTTGGGGGAAGCCGGGGGAGGCACCACCAACACACCACATGCTCCAAAGTATATCCTTTTTTCACCTCGCAACCCACAAAGACATTTCAAGCAAGTTTTAACGCTTCTCCTATTTTGGGATCCCCTCTCCAGCATCCCCAGTACTGGGCACGGAGCCGAATGGGACAGGATGCTCCCAAAGGTCTTGGGGTGCTCCGGGGAGAAACCACGGGGCCAAAGAGGGCTTGGGGTGACCCGGAGAGGGGCGGGGGTGGCGCGGGAGGTGCGACTTTATCCCGACCACCGGAGCTCCGAGCTCGGGCACCGCGCAGCCGGCGGCACGGCAAGGGACACGGGGACACGGGACACAGGCACAGGGCGAGCCGAGGGGCACAGGGCGAGCCGAGGGGCACAGGGCGAGCCGAGGGGCACAGGGCGAGCCGAGGGGCACACGCGGGGGCCGGGGGCAGGTCCGAACTAGAGCCGGAGCCGGTGGAAGCGGTGCCCGGGACCCCGCGCTCCGGTTGGTTGGGACGGGACGGGATGGGACGGGATGGGACGGGATGGAATAGGATGGGATGGGACTGCCGGGTCGATACGACTCGCTCCTTACCTGCGGGAGGTCATGGCTCCGCGGAGCTCCGCTCCCGGCCCCGCTCCCGCACCGACTGCCCGCACCGCCGCGCCCCGGCGGGCGCTGGGCCCGGAGCGCCGGGGAAACCCCTCCCTATGACGCGGGGGAATCCCCGCCCTCCGCCCCGCCCGGGTCTCGCTGCCCATGCCCGCAGCCTCCGGCCCCGCTGCCCGATCCCTGGGTCTGTTCCCCCGCGCCTTTGCCCTCCTGGATGCGCGTTCTCCGCGTCTCCATCGCACCCGGGGCTTGGCAGCTTGGGGGAGTTCATGGGATGGAGTCGCGGGGTTGTTACGGTGGGAAAAGCGCTCCCGAGATCATCCAGTGCAACCATGAACCCGGCACAGAGCTCACCACGAAACTGTGCCCCCCCCCAGTGCCACATCCACAGGGGTTTCGGGCACTTCCAGGGATGGTGTTTCCATCACTGCCCTGGGCAGCCCCTTCCAATGCCTGACCACCCTTTCAGTGAAGAAGTTTTTCCTCATATCCAATCTAAACCTGCCCTGGTGCAACCTGAGGCTGTTTCCCCTTGTCCTGTCTCTTATTCCCCAGGAGCAGAGCCCAACACCCCCCTCCCAGGTCCCCCCTCCTGTCAGGGAGTTGTAGAAGGTCCCCCCTGAGCCTCCTTTTCTCCAGGCTGAGCCCCCCCCAGCTCCCTCAGCTGCTCCTGCTGCTCCAGCCCCTTCCCCAGCTCCATTCCCTCCTCTGGACAAACTCCAGCCCCTCAATGTCCTTCTTCTTGTAAGGAGTCCAAAACTGAACCCAGGATTTGAGGTGTGGTACGGGGAGACCAGCAGCAATTTAAGACATCCCTCAGTACCCAAACACCACTAAAGGTCCAGATTTTGGGGCTGAGTTCATAAAAGTTCATAAAAGCTGCCAAAATAGTGGAACAAGCCACAAAGCACTGAGCATCCAAGGCTGGTGAGGCTCAGCCACGTCTGTTATCCCTAAAAGCCCCTGACTCAGGGGTGCTTTGGGGTCAGGAGGGCACAGTGTCCCCAGGGTGAGTCCCCCCACTCTCATCCCAGCATCTGTGGTGACACCAAAACCTCCCACTGGGATAAACTGGGGGCCAGGTGTGCTGTAGCCACGCCGTGCACTTCAGACAAATAAAGCCCATTTTGCCATCTGAAGTGTAAATTCAGAGGCCTTTAACAAACTCACGTGGAATATCTGTTGCTTCCCATAAAAGACAGGAATTAACCCAAAGAAATGCCCTCAATCTGGCACCTTTCATGAATGCTGGGTGAGAAAACAAAGCCAGCTGTCCGAGAGAGAGAAAAAGCCAGGACACAGCCAGTGACCCCCCCCTCCTTCTCCCCCAGTCTGCCCCTAGTGTCAAAAATAGCAGTTTTATAACTATAATAAGACTCAGCGAATTCCGTGTCTATTCGGGGAATACCCAGGGAGCTGGCAGCAGGAGCCAGCTCATTTCTGACTTCAGCTTCCCTGAATGCCACTGGATTGCTCACAGGGCAACGGGGACCACAGAGGCCAAATAGCAACCCCTGATAATGGTGACCTCTGGGCTCTCCTTCCTCTTTTCCCCTCTTGTCGAGGCTCCCGGGCACTGGGACCTTCTCTCGGGGCACTGAGGCTCCTTTGTGAGGCCAAAAATGTGACTTGTGTGTGTGTGTGTCACTGGGATGAGACCCTTTCTGGTGGGCAGGGAGGGACATGGACAGAGGTTCAGCTTCTTGGTTAAAAAAAGGAAACCACTGGAACTGTTCTCCCCACTTTGCACTGGTTTCCAGGCTGGGCAACTGGGAGGCAGAAAACTGGGGAAAACGGTCCCTTCCTGGGAGATCTTAGCCTTCCTTTCCATTGGAATGCTCTGATCCCAGGGAAATAACCCCCCCAGAGGAATCCACACCCTGACCTGCCCTCAGCATCCAGAACATCCCATTCTGTGGGTGTTGGGAATGTGCCAATCCCTCGGGGCACCTGCTGCCGTGGAGATGGACCATGGAGGTGTCTGGGGGGCCCCTCTTGCTCTCTGGGCTCAGTCCCAGCCTGGCTGGCAGCAGCACCCTCAGGAACGAGCCAGTTCATCCAGGTGTCCCTTCCAAGGAACCAGCACCCTGGAAGTGTGTGAGTTATCATCCTGAAAAACAAGCCTTGTTATAAATCTGCTCCGCTCAGGAGATGAGGATGTGTGTGTGGACTCCCTGGAGAAGCTCAGCCAGCCTTTACTGCCACCTCAGCACGTGGAGGAGGAACAGAGTGTTTATTCCACCTTTTTTTTGGCAGCTGTAAATTCCCACCAGAAGTAACCCAGACCCTCATTAGGCCCCATTTACATTTTAACTTTCACATCCCTGAGGCTAGAAATGAGGAAGAACACGAGGTCTGTGATACAGGTATGACCAAACCTACCAAATCCAACCTATAACACGTGGTTGGAGCCCAAAAATTTATAATGTAAAAGAGGGGGGAGCCAGAAAAGTCAGAGAGAGGGAAAACACACTATCTGTGAGTCTGGATCATGCAAATCCTTATTGAACATGACCAGCCCTGTAATCCTAGGTTGGTAAATTGAATTATATGTGAGTCTGTGCTTTTATAGAACCCAACCAGACCAACAGTGCTCAGTTGGTTATAATCAGAAATTAAGCCCAGCTGCACCCTGTGATCTCTGAGGACCAGCTGGAACTCAAGGGGGGGGTTTTTCTGCTAAATTTCTGTGCCTTTAATGAAGGTCCCCCTTTGACTGGAGCCCCAACTCAGGGGTTTAAGGGTGGATCAGCTGCTCCTGGCCCCACACTGAAGGCACAGAGAGGCTCACACACAGCCAGGCTGGGGTTCCCAGAGGGAGCTGAGGATGGGTGACACCACCCAACCCCAACTGCTGCCTCCTGTGCTCCCAGTGGGTGCTGACTGGGCAGCCAGGAGTGTTCCTGGGAGCCCTGGGAAGCTGCTCAGAGCAAGGGCTGCCAAAAGCACGGCCAGGCCATCCCCCGAGTCACACTTGCTGCCTGCCCAAGCGTGGCATCTGTCCTTTCTCCCTTCCTCCTTCCCCTCACAATGGCTTTTTCCAGCCTGTAGTAAAAGATCCCTCCAGCTGCCAAGGGCTCTTTTCCCCCCTGGCCGAGACAAGGATGGCTTTTTCTCCCGCTGCTCCGTGGCAGAGCTGGCCAAACGCCTCTGGAAGAGGGACTGGCTTCGCAAGCCCGTGCCTGTCGTGGCATAATCGAGTCATTGTGGAGGAGAGGCTGCACCAGGAGGCTGATCCTGAGCAAAACATGGCCCCAGTGGTGAGCTCTGCATCCCCCCGTGGCTGCTCACACACTGGCCCTGTTGTTTCCCACCCTTAGTCTGTGCTGGCTCATTGTCCACCCGAGAGCCAGTTCAGACACCGATCAACTCCCATCACTGCTGGGATCAAAATGACTCCATTTGCTAAATTAGCTGCTCCCAGATGGCAGGAAACCCGTGTCCTGGTCTCACTTCACCCCGCTTGGATGAACCTGGAAGCTCTTTAATGAATGAAATTTTCCACCTCTCGCCCTTTTCTGGCAGGAAGATGATGCTGCAGGTGCAGGTGGGAGAGCCAGGTGGGAAGGCACCATCAGGAAAACCTGTTCAGGGCAGGAATGGAGATGCTGGTCCATCTCACAGAACATCCCAAAGATCCCACAAGGATCGGAGTCCAACTCCTGGCCCCGCACAGGACACCCCAAAAATCCCATCCTGTGCCTCAGAGTGTTGTCTCCAACCAATATCCTGCTGGAGACTGGCTTTCCATGGCCCAGGGGAAATGCTGCCATCCACGAGGAACAAGCCACAGGAGCATCACTTCAGTCTTGCTGAGGTGGTGTGGTGCCCATGGGATGCAAAACCTCTTTGGAAAATGATGCCCATGGGATGCAAAACCTCTTTGGAAAATGATGCCCATGGGATGTAAAACCTCTTTGGAAAATGATGTCTGTGAGATGCAAAACCTCTTTGGAAAATGCTGCCTGAGATGAGGGGATAAAAGAACAGCTGGGATGGGGGGGAAAAACCCCTTGAATTGCTGCAACCACTGTGATGGCCACAGAGGAGGGGAAGGAAAGACACACAGGTCCTGCAAACCCTGGGTGGGTGGGATTGAGGATGGAATTCATAAATAAGCTGAATTTAGAAGATACAGCAGGTACCTGCATGAGCCACTCAGGTTCTGAGGGAAATCTGTCCAGGAGACAGTGAATAAGTGTGAGATAAAGCACAAAAAAAAAAAAAATAGAAGCAACAGGCCCCTTAAAAACATATTTAATAGTTTTCAAACTTTATTTCATGGTGATTGACGAAAGACACAAGTTAGTAATGGTTATATCATGCTGCTCCTCTACTGTGCATTGCCCTTCAGAATTCATACAGCAGTTCACAATGGTCATTAATTTACCCTATAAATGAAGCCACGTGGACATTTAAAAAAAAAAAAACAAAACAACAAAAAAACCCAAAAAAAAACCAAAAAAAAAAACCAAAACAAAACAAAAAACCCAAAACAAAACCAAAAAAAACCCAAAACAAAACAAACAAAAAAAACAACAAAAGAAAACCAAACCCAGAAAAAAAAAACAAACCTCAATGTCTCTTTTTCTTTCTTTGTTTGTTTGTACATACATGTTATAAATGCTATTAAAAATAAAGCCCCAGTTAAGTGCACGGCCCCAAGGGAGCACTTGCTGAGCCTGACCTTGGTTCGAGATGCTCCACAACGAGGACACCACGTCCTGTTTTAAGGCATTTCCAAGCCCCAGCAAAAGCAGACAGAGTTTTTTTGTTTGTTTTTGTTTGTTTTTTGTTTGTTTAGCTGTTGGGTTGTTGTAATTTTTTTTTTGCAGTGACCCCTGGCTTCGTTTGGAGTGGCATTTGAGAAAATTAGCAGCTTCCTCTGCACGTGCCCCCTGTCCCCCTCTGGAGCTGGAGGATCCAGCCCTGTCTCAGCAATGCCCAGCTGGAAATTCCCCCCTTCTCAAAATTCACAGATTTGGGGGGGTCTCACACCTGCAATCCCCACCAGGACCCATGATTTATATACAGCAGCCACTTAAAATGTGGTTTTTGGCACACACACACACACACACACAGAGCAGTCTCCATCCCACAGAGGGCACAGCCCCCCTCTGTGGAATATTTAACCCCTGGATTTGCAGAGGAATGTCACAGATTGGGGATGGGGAGGGTGGGGAGGGGGGGGATAGTTTTCTTTCAATCAAATAAAAAGAAATAAAAAACCCCAAGTGGTTTTTACACACGTTCTTCCCCCTTGTTCAGAGCTCACCCTGAGGAAAAGGCCTTTGACCTTGTGTGGCTCAAAACTTGAGTGCCAAGAAACACCATTTTTAAAAGGTGTGCTGGAAGTTGGAAGGTGAAACTGCAGAATGATGGCACTTCGGGTATTAATTAACACTCATTAATTAATATTAATGATCCTTCAGGTGCATCCTGTACACTCCACAAAGCTGTTTTTTTACACAGAGCTGCCATCTCAGGGTGGGGAAGGGATGTGGATGCTCCACAGCATCATTAAATCCTTCCCATGGAGAAGGAACTCGAATGGAGAGGGTTGTTTCCTTCGGAGCTGTGATCCATTGGCTCTTCTCCTGCTCCCAGGAGATCCAAATGTCTGCAGGCAAAATGTGTGCTGGGTGACAGACACTCACAAACACGCACCATCCACTCACTGGCTTTGTCACTGGCACTAAAACATTTGCTTTCAAGGAAGAAAACACCTAAAAATCCCCCCCCACCCCCCAAAACCACTCCAGTCCCGACTCGTGCCCCGTTCCCATTCCTGATGGAGCTGTTCCTGCTGGGCTGGCAGCATCCAGAGGAGCTTTGATCACGGCGTGGAAGACCCTGGGCATTGCAAAAAAAACTTGAATCCAAGGTGGAAACTCCGAATTCTCTTTGTGGGAGAGGCTCCAGTGCCAGCTCTGCATTCCCAGGCTGGCAGAGCGCCCGAGGGCAAAGCCATGCCCCAGAGGCTGGAAAATGGACGTGGGTCATGGAAGGACACATCCAACAGGTCTTTTAAAAGCCAAGAGGGACCCAGTCCCTGTGCCCTCCCAGCCTGTTTGGTGGTGCTGGAAGAAGGGGGAGCACTTCCAGCCCTTGGAGAGGAGCTCCAAGTTATCCCCGGCGCACGGGAGGGCGAGGCTTGGTGGGCAGAAGCTCTTGGGAAGAGCAGCCAAGGGCAAACAGGTGGTTGGGACACGTCTGGATGAACACAAAGCGTGGAAATGAGGTTTCACAGCTGCTTCTGCACATGTCCAAGAGGAGGAGGAGGAGGAGGAGGAGGACGAGGAGGAGAACCAACAGAGAAAATCAACGTTTCCCCCCAGCACCTCTCAGTCCAGCAAACAGTCATAAGACAACCAAAGAGCAATGCTTTCCTGCCTGCTCAGAGCAGGCCTTGGTCTCTCTTCCAGTGCATGGCATCCCTGATTTTAACAGAGCATGAAGGAGAAAAGCACTTGAGATTCTTACACACATAAATTAGAGCGAGAGGAAGGAGGGGGGGAGGAGGGAGGTCGGGTGAGCACAGGGCCAGGGGAAGGCTTGGCAGAGCCAGACCCCGAAGCAGGGGTGGCAATTCCCACCTCCCTGCTCAGCCAGCACTGCAGAGGGGACGTTGGGGCCAGGCAGTGAATCCATGAAGGCCACAGGTCTTGCCAGCACCAGCATCTTTTCCCCCCCGCGGGCATGGACGACAACCCCAAGAACACAAGTGAGGAGAGGGGGAAAAAACAACCCCTCAAAAAAAGAAGCTTCAAGTATGAAGAAGATTTACAGCGTGATGGGCAAGTTCTTCTGTCACTTCTTGGAGACTTGGTTCAAGGTTTGTTCTTTGTTGCTGCTGTTTGATTCGAGTTCTGCCTGACCTGGATAGGCTGCAACCGAACGGATAACCCGAAAGAAAAAGGTGTCTCCTCCTCCCCTCCCTTTTTCCCCCCCTCCCTCCCTCCTCCCCCCCCAAAAATATAAAAAGCAATAAGTTTACAAAAATAGAAAATAATTACAGCAATAGGCAGGAGGGAGGGAAGGAGGAGGGAGGGTCTCTGGGGGTCTATTTGGCCGAGCAGTGTAATATCCTGGGGTTGTTTAAAGCGTCCTCCACCAGGTGCAGTTCTTGGCGGTCCACAAGGACATCCCGTATGCAGCCAACGAAGCCAGTGCTGTAGGCCTTGGGCAGCTTGTGAGCCACACTCAGCTTCTCCAGCCCCCCTGCAGGAGACACACAGAGCTCAGGGCACGGGGCAGGGGACAGCCAGACCGTCCCCAGCAGTGTCACACCCCCACGCACACACCGGCACCGCTGGGAACATCTCAGGAGGGAGCTGGGGGGGATTTCTTCCTGGAAAAGGGTTGTTAAACACTGCAAGGGGCTGCCCAGGGAGGTGGTGGAATGCCCATCCCTAGAGGTGTTCAAGGGACAACTGGATGTGGCATCAGTGCTCTGGGGTGGATCCCAGGTGGGGATGGGGCACAGGTTGGACTCGACCTCAGAGGTCTGTTCCAACCTTGGCCATTCTGTGAATGTCTTCCCAAGAGCAGGGAGAAACCTCTTTCCTGGCTAATAGTAAATATGAATTCATCAGTCAGTTAAATTAATTAGTTTTATGAAAATAAACAGTAGTTATCTTCACTTAGCTCAGTCGTGCCAGTTCCAACCATTGCCTGCAGGTTTCCTGAAGACACTTCAACCAGCGACTCGTTTCTATGGGTATTTCTATTCTCCAGCTATTTTTATTCTAAAATACACATTTCAACTCAAAAGTTTCCTTTCCCTTGGGGATTGGTCCCAAATCCAAACTGAATTTTAGTTCAGTTACTGCAACATCAACTCTGGGCTCATTACACAGGAAATACATTGGAATTACGAGGGGCTGATTGCAAACACAACTTTTGGAGGGGCCAGTGGGGAAGCCAAACAAAAATCTCTCATGGACTAATTCTGCTTTGCACATAAACTTCCAGGCTGATTTCAGAAGGAGAAATGGCCCCCAGGATCCTCTCTTTTTCACAGGCAAGACAACATTTTTGAATATGAACTCCTTGGGAGTCAGGTTAGACCTGAACTACAGGCTTAGACTGGGGAGATAACAACAGATGCTTCCAAAAAGTGTAAATGGAATCTAAGTCCATTTTTCCCTGTCAGGGTGGGCAGGTCCTGGCACAGGTTGCCCAGAGAAGCTGTGGCTGCCCCATCCCTGGAGGTGTCCAAGGCCAGGTTGGACAGGGCTTGGAGCAACCTGGGACAGTGGAAGGTGTCCCTGCCCATGGCAGGGGGTGGAACAAGATGAGTTTTAAGGTCCCTTCCAACCCAAACCATTCTGTGATTCTGTGATTCTGATTCACTGTTTTTTCCAGGCCAGCCAATGGGCACACTGTGCCATGGGAAGGACTGGCATTGGTGGGTAAAGCCAACCCCTCATCCCTCGGTGTCACCACCACCCTGCCCTGGTAGGCAGAGAACAAGCAGGGGAATGTTTAGGTCACCTGGGAGACAAAGATGTCGTGTTGAAGCAAGGCAGGGAGCATCCCCACCCCATTCCACCTCTGAATCCCTCAGCAAGGGGCACAGGGGACGCTCACCCTGCCCACACCAACTCACCCAGCCACAGGGCCCCGTCTGTGTCCAGCTGGGTTGCACCAAGTGGAGAAGAACCAGCGATGGGAGCTTCGTTCCCAACCTGGAGGGAGCCTTCCCTCTGTACCCTGCTCCCAGAGGGAGGGAAGAAGGAACAGAAGATGATTAGAGGACAAACCCAGAGGTGTTCCCTCTGCTTTGCACCAAACCCTGGCACTGGGCACCATCAGCCCTTCTCCAGCTGCAAAGGCGAAGGGAGCTGAGCCCTCCTCTCCCTCTGGCTGTGACACGGAGCAGTCCTTGCTCCAGTGCTCCCCTCCAGCATCCCCACGGCCTCCCACAGCCCCACCACCAGCCCTGCCAGCGGCCACAGCTCCCTCCAGAGCCACCAGCAGCAATCCCTGGCACGCCGGGCACATGATCCTCACCACTCCCACCACCACCAAAAATAACGAGGGGCAGCTCGGGCTCAACGCGGCCAGAATGTCAAACCCTCAAATAAAAGGCACAGACCTCCCAGGCCTCCTCGTTCCTGCCCCTCTGACATTTCCAGGCGTGCCCCAACACGCTGCCCTCCGCAGGGCACTGCCCACATGCCTCTCCTCTATTATTATCCGGGGGCAGGAGCGATCCTTGGGGATCACGGGGCGCCGTGACTCAGCTCGCCCGGCCCGCTCCCGCTTTTCCCTCCCTCCAGCCTTCCCACCTGGAGGCTTTGATGTGGATCCACTGGTTGGTGTTGACTGGGACTGTGGATCTGAGGACGACTGGCTTGGAGCCCAGGTCGTAGGTCATCTGCACGAACCCATCCACGATGGCCAGGGCGATGTAGTCCGAGCGCTCCAGCCCCTTCCCGCTCCACAGGATCAGCCCCTGCGTGGCCTCTGTTTTGATGCTCAGCTCGAAGTGGTTGGACTGCAGGGCCTTCTCACTGCGTGGGGAGATGGGGGCAGAGTGAAAAACAAGGCAGCTCCTTGGAGCAGCCTTCTCTTCCCAGCCAGCTGGCTCACCTGCTGGGAGAACCTCCAGCCAGCTCCTGGCATCAGGCTACACGTGGGGTCTGTCCCTACCTGAGGGGTTGGCAGACTTTGGGGCATGAGAATGCCTGGGGTCTGCCCCTGCCTGAGGGGGTCACAGATTTTGGGATATCAGAATGCCTGGGGTCTGTCCCTGCCTGAGGGGTCACAGATTTTGGGATATCAGAATGCCTGGGGTCTGTCCCTACCTGAGGGGTCACAGATTTTGGGATATCAGATTGCCTGGGGTCTGCCCCTGCCTGAGGGGTTGGCAGACTTTGGGATATCAGAAAGCCTGGTGCCTGGGGTGGGAGCAGATGGGAAGCTCTAAACCAGGCCAGAGGATCAAAGGAATGGCCCTCGAGGTCTCTAACCCAGCTCCCACTCAAAGCAGGATTCAGAGCAGGGGCTCTGCCTAGATGAGCTTGGGAACTCCTCCATCCAACTAAGCCTGGAGCCCCTCCATCCTCCTGCTGATCTGAGCAGGGTCTGCACAGTTCTCCTGGTGTTTTTTCCCCACTATCCAGCTTGAACCTCCAAAGCCACGGGGCTCCTGCTCCTTCCTTTTGCCCCCCAGGAGCACAGAGAGCAGGGACATCAATCCCTGCAGGCTGTGACACACCAGCCTCGCTCCCCAGGGCTGGGGACTGTGACAGGCTGAGCAGTTTGAAGGGGAGGGAGGCTGCCCACACAGGCAGCAAAGCCTTCTTTCTCCTACATGAGGTGTCTTTTCCCAAGGGAGGAACGGAGGAAGGACGGGATTTCCTCCACGTTGGCATCCCCATCTCTGCTCAGTCCCTTTTGGAATGGGCACAAGGCTCTTGGCAACAGCTGAGGTTGCCCTGTGGGGTGGCCACAGGGATGCTGAGACACGGAGACTGGACAACATGGACAACACAGACAGCTTTTTATTCCCAAGGGACACTGCACCTAAAGGGCTGGACGAGGCTCTGCACGAAGCCTGAGGTACTGCCAGGGTACCTCAGCCTGTCCCCTGCTGCCACCCCTGGAGTGCTGTGTCCAGTTCTGGGCCCCTCAGCTCAGGAAGGACATGGAGGGGCTGGAGCAGGTCCAGAGAAGAGCAACAAGGCTGGGGAAGGGACTGGAGCACAAGTGCTGTGAGGAGAGGCTGAGGGAGCTGGGGCTGTTCAGCCTGGAGAAGAGGAGGCTCAGGGGAGACCTCCTCACTCTCTGCAACTCCCTGCCAGGAGGGGGGAGCCAGGGGGGGGTTGGTCTCTTTTCCCATCAGCAAGACAAGAGGGCTGGGTCTTGAGCTGTGCCAGGGGAGGTTTAGGTTGGATATTGGGAAGAATTTCTTTGCAGAGAGGGTGCTCAGCCATTGCAATGGGCTGCCCAGGGAAGTGGGGGATTCTCCGTCCCTGGAGGTCTTTAAGCTGAGACTGGATGTGGCATCAGTGCCATGGGCTGGGAACCACGGCGGGGTTGGATCAAGGGTTGGACTTGATGATCTCAGAGGTCCCTTCCAACCCAGCTGATTCTCTGATTCTATGATCCTGGGCTGGAGGGTTGGGGCTCCCTCCCTGTTTGCTCCCCCTCTGCAGAGCTGTATCCCTCACAAATAAAAAGCCAAGGATCTGGGCACACAGGACACACACACAGGGAGACACAGACATGCTGAGGCAGCGACAGCAGAGCACGAGACACGAGAGCACAAAGCCTGGCTCACTCACCTGGGCTCCACGGGATAGTCCAGCGCCTCGGGACTCAGGTGGGGGAAGAAAGGGGAGCGTGCCATAAGCAGGGGGCAGCAGAGGAGACCCTTCCCTTCCCTCCCACCCCCCTGGCACACAGGGAACAGCCCCTGCTCAGCACCAGCAGCTCTTCATCCTACCCGGAACCTGCCCAGCGTGAGTGGGGAGCACCAGGAACTGTCCTGGAGGTGGATGAGTCGCCTCCAACACGTTTGGAAGTGGTGGCTTAGCCAGGGGGGAGCAGGATAATGCCAAGGAGGGAATCCAGCCCTGTGCTGGTGGGGTGGGGATGCTCCAATGTGCTCCTGGGGTCTGGAGCACAGCTCTCTGAGGGGTGGTGGAGGGAGCTGGGGGGGCTCAGCCTGGAGGAAAGGAGGCTCGGGAAGGACCTTCTCACTCTTTACAACTCCCTGACAGGAGAGGGGAGCCAGGTGGGGGTCAGGGTCAGTCCCTTCTCCCCAGGGAACAAGCAACAGGACGAGAGGAAACGGCTCAAGTTGCACCAGCAGAGGTTTAGTTTGGATTTTAGGGAAAATTTCTTCACTGAAAACGTGGTCAAGCTTTGGAACAGGCTGCCCAAGGCAGTGGTGGAATCATCACCCCCTGGAAGTGCTCAAAAAATGTGTGGATGTGGCATCTGGGGACGTGGTTTAGTGCTGCTGGGTTAACAGCTGGATTTCATGATTTTAGAAGGCTTTTCCAACCTCAATGATCCCATGATTCCATGATCCAGTGTTCCTGGTGCTCACCCACGCTGCTGGGGTGTGGATTCCAGGGACACACTGCTGGGGGAAGGGAGCTGTGGGTCCCTGGCCCTGCACAAGGACCCTTCCCTGCAGGAATTCTCTTGGAATCACAGAATCACTCGGGTTGGGAAGGCCCTCCAAGATCATCCAGCACAGAGCTCACCACTAAACCACATCCCCCAGTGCCACATCCACACATTTTTGGAACACTTCCAGGGGTGGTGCCTCCACCACCGCCCTGGCCAGCCTGTCCCAATGCCTGACCACCCTTCCAGTGGAGAAATCTTCCCTGATATCCAACCTAAACCTCCCCTTGAGGCAACTTGAGGCCGTGTCCTCTCGTCCTGTCTTTGGGGTGTTGCAGAACGGGCTCCCATGGAGTGGAACTGTCACACACAGCCTCTGAGTCAGCCTTGGGGCACTTGCAGAACAGGGTGTGCGTGGAGAAGGGGAAATCCAGGAGTCCAGCTGTCCCTCTGGCACTGCAGGTCCCGCGTTACATTCAACTCCAACGACATGTATGGATAAAAATGGATGTGCCAGTAAAAAAGGTACGGGCATGTCACGGCCAGCAGAGCCCAGAGAAGCACTGGCAGTGTTAGTCCTGCCCAGGGCACACCCCAGTGTCTGCCTGGAGGCACAAAAAACCCCTACTTTTATGGGTCCCTCAGCCTGGCAAGGCTGGCGAGGGCGGCGGCCACATCCCAGCAGAGGAATATGGGGAGAAACACTAAAGCTCCCTCACAGGATGGGGCATGCACAGCCAAAATAGGCTGGGCCAGGCAGGGAGGAGGCTGGGAATGGTGGCCTTCCCTTTGCAGAGCACTGGGAGAGGCAGGACACCTTCTGCTCGTGGCTCTGGGGGTGCAGAGGGACAGCGGGGCACTGGTGCGGGTCACTACAGGCTCTCGCTGCTGGAGGGCACTACCCAGCTCAGGAGGATACTTAGGATGCTCCTGAAAAGCCCTTTCCAAACCCAGGGCACCTCCCCAAGTGCTGTGAACATGCAGGTGATGGCTCTGTGGCTCCCCAGGCGCTGACACACATGCACACACCAGCTCAGCCCCCCACGCCCCTGCCTGAGCCCAGCTGGGAGAAAATGAGGTGAGATGGGGATGGGACAGGCAGGAATCTCTCCAGCTCTCCCCCAGACACCTGGGAATAGATCTGCATGGAGCAGGGCTTCCATTCCACCCCTGGTGCTCAGCAGGACAGACAGACAGACAGCAAATCACAGCTGTCAGGGCTGCTCTAGGGAAGAAGTTTCTGCCCATTCACCTGCCCAGACCCTTCCTCTGACCCCCTGTCCCCACTGCATCTTTGGAAGGGCTCCCAGGCCACACACTCTGGCTGGGGAACATCCTCCCAGTGCCCTGCCTGGCCTCCCCTCTAGAGCAGCAATGCCCCATCCATGGTGGAAAAACTCAGGGCAGGATCAGCACCCTGGATTTCCATCAGCTGCTGGTGGAACAGTGAGTCACAGGAACCTTCCTCCTCTGTGCCCAGCCTTAAACTGTGCTTAAAGAACTCTGCTGAACTTAAAAAAATCATGCTTAAAAATGAAACTATGGAGAGCTGGGACAACATCTGGCTGTGGCAGAGCCAGGACAACATCTGGTTGTGGCAGAGCCGGGTCGGGCAGCTCCTGCTGCGCCCTGTCTGGGCACCAAGAGCTGTGGTCAGTCCCTGAGTCCTCCTCCCCCCAAAACAGGAACACCTGCCCGTGGCAGACCCCAGGAGAGGGCCCAAATTCCTCCCCCCATCCCTGCCCTGTGCTCCCCCAGGGGTGGGCTGAGGTTGGGGTGTCGATGGTGAGGGCAGAGGGGAGCAGGGAGGGCTGTACTTACGCAGGGATCTCATTGCCCAGGTGGCTTGAAAACAAAGAAACAGGGACATTGAGAAGGGACAGACAGACAGAGAGACTGACAGACAACAGCTCAGCACGGACACCCTCCCAGGCAGGGTGTTAGGACACAGGGAAGCCGAGGGTGTGACGGGCAGATGGGTGAAGTCTCATCCAACACCCTTTCCCAGTTGCCCTGGAGCTGGGAATTAACCAGAGGGACACAGTGGTGAGGAAGGAAGGGCACTGAGCCAGGCCACGGCGGAACCAGAGGGTCCTGAAGGAGAAACATCCAGCCCAGAGGCCGTGCAGGACCTCAGGCAGCAGCTCTGCCCACCCTGAGGGAGCAGCCCCAGGGAGCAGCATGGCCACAGACACCACGGGGTGCACCCCAGCACCCCCAGCACGGGGCTGGGCAGAGCCTGGGGAAGGTCAGACGGGTCCCACAGCAGGGATGGCCCAGCTGTGCTGGCAGAATGACCCTTGTGGCACAAACAGGCAGGGACACAAAGGATGCAGCTCCATCCCACCCCCAGAGCAAGCTGTGCTGACCCAGGTGCCCCACACACAGCCAGACCTGAAGCTGGCCAGGCACTGCTGTTTTGGGGCAAATCCTCTGCCAGCAAGGCAGTTTTAGAGGTCAGGGCTGGAACTGGCTGCTCAGAGCCCCAGTTTGGTTTGCTTCCCTTTGGAATTCCTTGATCCCAGCTCTTCCTCCTGCTGTCAGCCCTATCTCCTCGTTTGGAGCTCGGTTCAGCCCAGCAGCCCAGTTACCTCTTGGTGACAGCATTGTGGTACTCCATGTATGTCCTGCCATCAAAGGCAATGGCCTCTGCATCCCCAGCAGCCTTCTCGATGATCACTGGGGGTGGGAAAGACAAGAGCTGTCAGGATCTGCCCCTGGAGACCAGGAAAATGCCCCTTTACACTGAGCATCCCTAAGAGGATGAAGGCAAGCACCAACCTGCCACCCCCTGGGGCGTGTCAGCCCCGGGGCACTCCAAGCAAGCCCCTGGAGAGGTTTGCTGTGGCTTTAGGGTATGGAATTTCGGGACCATCTCCTCGTTTTGCAGCCAACAGTCATCAATTGTCAGTCAAACTTAAACTGGAATTTCAGTTTGATGGCTTCAAACTTAATAATAGAGGGAAGGTTTAGATGGGATATTAGGAAGAAATTGTTCCCTGTGAGGGTGGTGAGGCCCTGGCACAGGTTGCCCAGAGAAGCTGTGGCTGCCCCATCCCTGGGAGTGTCCAAGGCCAGGTTGGAGCAACTTTGGCTAGGGGAAGGGTTCTCCTGCCCATGGAAAATGAGATGATTTTTAAGGTCCCTTCCAACACAAAACATTCCAGGACTCTACGAAGGACAAGATCTCCTGCACTGTCCTGCTGCCACCAGCCACGTCTGGTAGTGTGGGTGAGGGTCCACACCCAGCCCACCCTGGTCCCTCACCTTTCTCACAGTGGGCCCCGTGGAAGCCCCTCTGGCAGGCACACTCGTAGCTCTCCAGCCTGGGGCTGCAGGTGCCCCCGTTCTGGCAGGGGTTGGGTTTCTGGGTGCAGGGGTGGCCCCGGAAGGGCGAGATCTCGATGGCGCTGCGGATGTTCTGCTCCGTCAGCAGGGGATCCCCCTTGATGGAGATCTGGCACGTGCAGGCAGGAGGAAACACAGGAGTTATGTCATCCAGGAGGTGGGGAGGCCCTGGCACAGGTTTGCCCAGAGAAGCTGCGGCTGCCCCATCCCCTGGGAGTGTCCAAGGCCAGGTTGGAGCAAGCTGGGCTAGTGGGAGGTGTCCCTGCCCGTGGCAAGGGGTGGAATGGGATGGGCTTTAAGGTCCTTTCCAACCCAAACCATTCCATGATTCTATGGTGATCCTCCACCATCCCATCTCTCTGCCATGGGGGGACAGAGGGCAGTGTCCTTGGGGATAAGGGGAGACGGGAACCAGCCCCAAGCCCCACGTGTTCCTCTGACGCACCTTTGCCTCCCCTCCTGCCACTTTTCCACCAGGGGTGCTCCCCGTGGGACCCACAGGCCCACTGCCAGGCTCCTCCTCACTCCCCTCCAGCAGTACCAGGGCAGATGGCACATCTCCCAGCTGGACACTGGGCTGCCCAGCAGGACCTTACCCTCTGCACAGCCCCCTCGAAGCTGGTGGAGATGGCAGCTGCTCGAGCCAGCTTGCTGAAATCAGGGGCTCCTCCAACGTAAAACGGCTCCTTCAGGTTCAGGTAGGTGTGAGGCACCTGGGGAGGAGAGGGGAGATGATGGAGAAGATGTCAGGATATCCCTGGGTGTCCCGTGCAGGCCCAGGAGTTGCCCGTGATGAGCCCTGTGGGTCCCTTCCAATGTAGGATGTTCTCTGATTCTATGAAAGGGGCCTCCAGGAAACCTCCTCATGCCAAGCTGCGAGGTCCCACCCACCAGCAGGCACCTGGAAAAGGTTCCCTGGGGGTTTAATTTTGGGGAGATGCTGTTTCTAATGCTCTCAGGCGTGAAGGGGGGGCTCTAGTTTTGCGTGACCCCCCAAACCAAGTAACCAAAGTCTCTCTGGGGGTGATGTTCAAACCCAAACGCATTCCAGAAGGATTCAGCTTGGGTTCTCCTGGCTGCTACAGGTTGCCGTGGCTAGAGGAGGTTCTCCTGCATCCCACATGGTGTGTGTTTGGAGGAGAAATCTCCCTCCTTGCTGTCACCCTGCGGTCCCATCTGCCCAGCCTGGAAAATCCCAGGAGAGTCTCCAACCGCAGGGTTCTCCAAGCAGGAATGCTGTCCCTTCCTGGGCACCTGGGATGGAGCCAGGGGCACAGCAGAGATGGGGTTATATGGATCACTAGCTAGTGCTTCGTGGAGTTAAAAAAATGATCAGATTAATCGAAATGCTTCCAGAACAAAATGCAACGGCTGGCTGGGGATGAATGATGGAAGAGGAAACGAGTGTCTCTAATCTAAAGAGATCCTAAAGCTGCTCGGTCAGATGGGAAGGGGAGTGGGTGAAACACTGGGATCTGGATGGAGAACAAAAAAAAAAGAACGAGGTGCCAATGGCAGATGAGATGGAGGTGTGGTGGTTCATACTTATCTTTACCTTACGGGATTTCTGGGATCCAGAGACAGCAGGGGAGGGAAAATTACAAATGGAAATCAAAGGGAGAGAGAAAAAGAGAGAGAGAGAAAAAGGGAGATCAGTGGGTGACATTGCAACATGCAGGGCCACAAGACCCCCGCTGCCACCAGTGCTGGGGTAGCCAGGGAGGGGAAGGGGGGCTGCAGAAGGTGACAGGAGGGTCCCTGCCACCCAGGGGTGAGCTGTGCTGGGAGAGAAGCTTGAGAAGAGCAGAGCGAGGGGAGGAAGAAATCCCTTCTTTTCCAGGAATGCTGTGTAATCCTGGTGCTGCACTTCTAGGTGGATCTTATAGATGAGTTCAGCAGCAATCAGGGCTTTTCCTGCACTATCAGCTTCCCAGCTGGAAAGGGGGGTTAAAGGAACCCCAGGGGTCTGCAGACAGAAGTGCAGAGGGACAGGGGACGGGGAGAAGTTGGAGGGGGAAGCTGCCAGCTGGGAAACAGAGAGGAGGCACTGATGGATTCAGCAGCAGCAGTGCCAAGGGGCTTTCCCTGCTCTGTGACCTCCTCCTGGCTGAGCTCTCTGTGCTGGGGGGGCTCTTGAGCCCCCACCGTGGAGGACACAGGCTCAAAGCCACAGGTAGCACAGGTGCCTCACGTGCCTGCCCCGATCCAGGGACAGTCGAGGATCTGAGATAAAGAGTGGGGAGGTGGATGTGTGTGAGGGGGCTCAAAGGCATTCCTGAAACCTGGCAGGGGCTCTGCAGCCCTGTGTACAGGGCACAGGGAGGCAGCAAGGGCTGGGAGAGGTGTGCAGGGAGACAGGCACGCTCTGCCTGCAGCACCCTCTCCTCCCCAGGGCCTGCCCGCTCCTCCTCCACCTCTGAAGCCGTGTGCCACAGGGATTAAAAGCCCAGGAGCCTGGGGAATTCTCAGCTCGTTCCACACGTGACAGGAGCAGGGCTGGAAGCCCAGAGAGCCCCCTCCTGAGCCACCAACTCACCGGTGACTCCCCCATCACCCTCTCGCCGTTGTTGATCCTCATGACCCCCTTGCGCCCGTTCCTCTCCAGCAGGACACTCGTCCAGGTGTTGAGGGGAACCGGCTCTTTGCTCCTGGGTGGTGAGAAGGGGGGAGAAGACACACAGGTGAGAGCTCTGCCATCAGCAGAGCGCTGAGAAACCTCCCCTGAGCAGCCCGGGCTGGGCCCCCTCACCTGAGCACGGCTGCCCCCTTGCCCAGGTCGTATCTGTACTCCAGGTACCCGTCGTGCAGGGCCAGGGACACGAAGTCCCCCTTGCCATCTGTCTTCTGGCCGTTGTAGAAGATCATTCCACTGGGGTTCTTGGCCAGGAACACAACTTCCATGGACATTTTCTCCCTGAGGAAAGAAGGGTTATTAATAACCCTCCAACCCAGCAGCCCCTCGTGCTCTCTTCCTCCACCCCCATGCACTGAGCCCTTGGAATAACTCTGCCTGCCCGGGGCTATGGGATTGGCAGAGAGATGCCACCCCTGCAAGGCACCCTGGGTGGGTGAGAGGCACACCTGCTGTGCTCAGGATGCTGCTCTGTGGTGTCTCTTTACCCACCAGGCAGGTGATGCCCTCACGGGCCACCCTCATACCCCTGGCACTTACTGCAGGTCAGGAACGAAGGTCTGCAGCCCGTTCAGCTCCAGGTAGGAGAAGCCATTGAACTCCGGGAGGAAGGGCATGGTGTGGTCCTGCTCTGTCACTGGGCACAAACGAGGGGATGGTGAGGGAGGGGAGGCAGAGCAGCTTCAGCCAGTGCCCCAGAGCCACAGCGGGCGAGGCCACCGCCCGGGCTGGGCACGCTGAGCTCCGTCCACCCCCTGCCCCAGCCCCGCTCCTCCGCCGGCTCCCGTCCCACCTCGCTCGCAGAAGTCTCCTTCCCGGCCCATGGGGCAGGCACACAGGGCACCCCCCTCGGGCAGCACCAGGCAGGTGGCAGAGACGTGGCAGGGCGAGGGCTCGCAGGGGTTCCTCTCGTCGGCGCACGTGGGCCCTGCGGCGGGACAGGCAGCGTCACCCCCGCGCCACAGACCGACAGCCCAACGTCCCTGCTGCCCCCTGATCCCCCCCCAGCCTCTGGCTCAGGCTGGGTCCCCATGACCCAGGAAGCCCCCACAGCTGGCACCCACAGCCACCCTTGGCTGGCTACGCCCCTAAAATGCGAGGGGATGTTATTTTGTGCAGGAAAGCCAACAGGTCCTGGCCCTTCTGTCCTTGTGAACAGGGCTACACCCCAGACCTACTGACCTCACTGCAGGAGGCTTCATCCTCCACTTCTCCCTCTGTCCCACTGCTGACACTCCCCTCCCCACTGGGCTGATCCCAGAGGCTCTGGGATCCCAAAGGACCACCCAGCAGGATGAGGAGCCCAGCCCTGCTCTGCCTGCAGCCCCCTCCCCACTCTGATGATCTCAGAGGCTCTAGGATTGCTCAGGACCACCCAGCAGGATGAGGAGCCCAGCCCTGCCCCGCCTGCAGCCCCCTCCCCACTGTGATGATCCCAGAGACTCTGGGATCCCAAAAGACCACCCAGCAGGATGAGGAGCCCAGCCCTGCCCTGCCTACAGCCCCCTCCCCACTCTGATGATCCCATAGGCTCTGGGATCCCACAGGACCACCCAGCAGGACGAGGAGCCTGCAGCCCCCTCCCCGTACCGGTGTAGGTGTGGCGGCACTCGCAGTGGAACATCTCTGCCTCCTTGACGTGGCAGATGCCCCCGTGGTGGCAGGGGTTGGGGTGGCAGGGGTCGTTGCCACACTCGCCCACCCCGCTGCCGTAGAGGACGTCGCTGCCCTTCTCCCGCAGGTCGTACATCTGGTTGTTCACGTCCAGGAGGCGGATGCAGCCCTTGAGCCCCGTGGTGGCCGTGGTGTGATCTGCCACCCTGAGGGGACAGAGCTCGGGGTCACTGGGGCTTTTGGTCGCTCCAAGGATGTGGGTCAGGCTGTGCTCCCCCACAGGGCACAGATCACAGAATGGTTTAGGCTGGAGAAGAGCTCTGAGATCATCGAGTCCAATCTGTGCCTGATCACCCCCACCCTGTCCCCCAGCCCAGAGCACTGAGGGCCACGACCAGTCCTTCCTCGGACACCTCCAGGGATGGGGACTCCATTACCTCCCTGGGCAGCCCCTTCCAATGCCTGACCACCCTTTCCAGGAAGAAATTCCTCCTAATGTCCAACCTGAATCTCCTCTGGTGCAGCTCAAGGCTGTTCCCTCTCCTCCTGTCCCTTGTTCCCTGGGAGCAGAGCCCGACCCCCCCTGGCTCTCCCCTCCTGTCAGGGAGTCACAGAGAGCTAAAAGGTCCCCCCCTGAGCCTCTTCTTCTCCAGGCTGAGCCCCCCCAGCTCCTCATAGGATACTCCAGCCCCTTCCCCAGCTCCATTTCCCTTCCCTGGACTCACTCCAGCCCCGCAACGTCTCTCTTCCAGTGAGGGCCCCAAAACCAGACACAGCCCTGGAGGTGCCTCACCAACACAGACGGATGATCACTTAAGAAGCCCCCCCAGCCCCCCACGAAGCAGTGGCGGGCGCTGTGGCCCGGGGACAGCCCCCAGCCCCACACTCACACGGCCATCTGGTCGTCGGGCGCTCCCCCGATGAACAGGTCGGTGTCCAGGTTGAGCCCGTCGGTGCCCGGGGGGCTCTCCCCGCTCACGTGGGGCTCCCCATCCACGGAGAGCATCCCACTGCGCCGGTTCCTGTTCACCACCAGCTGGTGCCACTTGCCAGGCTCCACACGGACCTTGCTGGTGATGACGCCCGTGCCAGAGCCCGTGTTGAACCTGCAGGAGAAAAGAGGGGCGGGGGAGAGGGCCGTGTTCATGCCATCCCGCAGAAAGGTGACACCTGTGTCAGGTGACATCTCCCAGGGAGAAGCTGGGAGCGCTTGGGAGACCCCCCCTCCCTGCCCACCTGTGTGCCAGGCTGCCCTCAGAGCACGCTCTGCCCACCCCCCCTGAGCGTCAGGACTGCCTGAGGACTCATCTCCTCCACCTCACCTCATTCCAAATCTGTCCCTTTGGCTTTTGGAATGGGGGGGAGGGGGAAAAAAATAAAAAGTCATTCCAGCTCAGATTTCTGGGGCCTTTCTCCCTTTCCTTTTTTTCCACCTGTGTTTCTTTTCTCGGTACAAAAAAAAAAAAAAAAAAGAGAAAACCACCACCCAAAAAAAAAAAGAAAAAAAAGATCTCTCGCTCGCCCCAAAAAAATCAACCTCCCACACCTTCCAGCTTTTCAAAATTCAAACTGAAATCACTGAATTAACTTTGCTGAAAAGTGCCAGAGGGAACAAGCTCCCTATCACATCCAAAAAAAAAACCCTTCTCCTCTCCTCATCTCTTTGATTCCGGGTCTCTCAGAACACAAGTCCAAGCCCTGCATCCTCCTGATGTTCTGCGAGGACCGTTCTGGCTGGAGCAAGCCCACCTTCCTCCCCACCAGCTGGGGCTGGGAGGGCACCCACCTGAGCTCCACGAAGCCGCCCACCAGGGCCAGGGAGATGAAGTCCTTGCCGCGGTTCTGGCCGTTGTAGAGCAGCAGCCCCCCGAGCTCCAGGGTGCGGAACTCCATGGCGATGCGCACCGTGTGATACGCCTTCATCATCTTGAACGCCAGGTAGGACTTGCCCCCGAAGCTGGGGATGAAGTACCTGATAGCTGCAAGAGCCAGGAGATGAATGAAGAGGGGACAGAAGGACACAGAGCCTGATGTGAGCCCGGGAATGTTTTCGACCTGTCCGGACACGGAGCTCTTGGGAAGGGGCGGAGAGAAGCTGGTTGTCTCCTCTGAGCCCACGCTCACCCCGTCACCACCTCCCAGACATTCACACTGGTACCCAAAACCCCTCTTGTGATGCCATTCTCCCCAAAGATGCTCCCAGGCTTTAAAGATCTGTGGTGTTGCTCCCCCAACCAGCTCCTCCCAGTTAAAAACCAGTGCTGCTGGTCCTTTCCGGGCCCCTGTGCCATCATCCGAGCTCTGCTGCACACACAGCATCTCGTAACTCAGCTTCCCTGCTCCTTAGATAATTTTTATCTCTCCTCCCAGAATCCCACATGACAGATTTACATTCATCACTCCAGGCTTTTGTTCACCGTGGCTGAGGTTTTCCAAGAGATCTGAGAGGCCAAGCCCTATTAAAATGAACAGGGCTGGACACCCACAGCTTGGAGCGCTCCAGATTATGGCTTTAGGGACAAAGCTTTTCAGGAATAAGCACTCCCAGCCGCCCAGAGTCCCCAGCATGACCCCAAACTGCCAGTGGGGGCTCACAGTAAATAACAGCAGCTCTGGGTAAGCGTGCTGCCAGTCTCCAGCTGCTTGTTAAGCTGCTCCAAGCACTGGGAAATAGAGGCTGGATTATCAGAACACATCTCCCCAGGCTGGAGAGGATGGTCAGTGCCTGGCTGTGTCACACTGGCAGGCAGGAGCTGTGAGGGGCAGTGCCCCGAGCTGAGCTAACACAGCAGCAGCTCCCGATCCCCCGGTGCTTCGGGGCACTGCTGGATCAGGAGCGGAGCCAGGGGGAAATCACTCCTGGCACCTCGCAGCCTTTTACAATGAATAGCACATGTACAACCTGCTGTGGCAGAGCTGAGATTACAGCCCATTAAAGCAGCCCCTGCAGTGCCAGTGCCAATTCCGGGGCCGGATTTGAACGTTCCCCCCATCCCTCCATCACCAGCCAACGCGTTCGCTGGAGTCGCCCGACGCGGGATGTTCCCGCTCCAGGCCAGGTTGGACGGGGCTTGGAGCAACCTGGGATGGTGGGGGGTGAGCTCAGAGGTCCCTCCCCACCCCGCTCTGGGATGCTGAAACCCAGCAAGAGTTCTGAGATGCTGGAATTCTGTTCTGAGGGGATGTTACAGACCCTCGCTCTGAGGAATACAACATCACTGTTAAAGGGACAAGGGGTACTCTGTTCCAGAGCTCTGCCTACGGATGTTCTGTACTAATGAAAAGATAACAGAAAGGACAACTTAGTAGTCATGAATTAGATAGAATGGACATCTGGGGAGATGAGCAAGCTGAAGCAGAGGGGGGTTTCACAAGCTCCCAGTACGTAGTCAGGAAAAGTTCATGACAAAGAGGACCCTCTTGAGGCTGAAGGACCAGAAAGACCACCAGAGGACTCCCTAAAAGGACAGCCCTGTCTCAAGCTCCGCCTAGACTCTGCCCATTATGAATATGATAATTAGATTGTGAAATTAAACGAATGTGCATGTATAGATGTTGTAATCACTCACAAAAACTGTATAAATTACCCGGCTTTTCACTGAGAACTTCGGAGCTAGTTTGTCCAGCTCTGAGCAAAATCCGTTTGCCCAGACTTGGTTTTCACTCAGGAAAACCATCAGGGGGTAGAACTGCCCCTGGCTAGACTCCCCAGCGTTGCTCAAAACAAATACCTTTGCTGCTTAAAGACTCAAAACTGTCCCTGAGCAGCCTCCTTTCTGCCAATTTTGGCACCAATGCCATGGTGGGTGGGGGGCACTCACTTTTCTCGCAGACGGCCCCTCCCTTGCCCGCGGGGCAGCTGCAGGTGAACTCCTCGCCGTCGTCCTCGCAGGTGCCCCCGTGCAGGCAGGGGTGGGAGTCGCAGGGCCGGGGGGGTCTCCTGGTGACGGGGGGCTGCCGGGTGGGCTTCCTGCGGGTGCTGGCGGCCGGCAGGAGGGTGGGAGGGCTGGGCCTCCGGGTGCTCCCGGCGGCGCCGTCGGGGCGCTGCCCGCGGGCCGTGGTGACGGCGGCGGCCGTGGTGGCCCTGCGGGTGGTGGCCGGGGCCATGGTGGTGGCCGTGGTGGTGGTGATGGTGGTGGTGAAGAGCCTGGGGATCCAGTCTGGAAGGGCAAAGGGCGGGGAGAAGTCAGTGCTTCGCAGCCCTCTCCGGGGCAGGGGCGGCCGCGCTCCCACGTGCCACGTGTCTGTCTTCCCTGGAAAATCACTGTTCTGGGTTTATGAGGATGGACAAGGCCTGGCCACCTCTTCAGGAGCACCAGGACAGGCTCTCTTTCCACTGCCACGGTGCAGCAGTTGCCATGTGCCATGAAAAAGTGGGGCAATTCTACCCCCGGATGGTTTTCCTGAGTGAAAACCAAGTCTGGGCACACGGATTTTACTCAGAGGCCCCTGGCACAGGTTGCCCAGAGAAGCTGTGGGCCAGGTTGGACAAGCCTTGGGGTTGGGTCCACCGTGGCAGGGGGGGTGGAATGAGATGAGCTTCAAGATCCCTTCCAAAACATTCCATGATTCCCTGATTCTGCACCACCCTCTGCACCCTGGCACTGCAAGGGGGAGCTTTTCATGGGTTACTGCTACAGACAAAAAGCCCTGGCAAGAGCAGAAGAGCCACCCTGCCCATCTGAAAGCCTAATCCAAGCGAGGGGGGGCCGGCCACAGACAGAGGGGACTCACCAAAATCCATGAATTTGACATGCTCCTGCTGGGGCTTCTTCACCAGGATGGTCTTCTTCTTGGAAGCTTTGATCTGCTTCAGCAGGGCCGCTTGGATATCAGCTGCCGTGTAGGACGTGGCTGCTCACAGCCAGGAGGAGGAAGGACAAAAGGAAGAGTGAAGATACAAGCCCACCCAGCAGCTCCTCTCCCACAGCTCATCCAGATTTGCTCCTTTCCCAAGGAAAACGCTTCCAGCCCTCCAGGCACCAGCTTAGGGCTCACCCACTCCCAGCTCTGTTGGTTTTGCTGGGCAGAAAACACAACCCTGGCAAATTTTAGGAAGGTTCTTTCCTTCTCCTTGCCACACATGTGTTTCTCCAGGCGGCATTCCCGCTGGGAATGCCTGCTCCCTCCCTGGGCAGGTGGGGGTGCCCCAGGGAATGCTCCTACCTGGGTCAAAGTGGGACTCCACGAAGACACGGACGGCGCTGCTCTGCCCCAGGTCCCGCACACGGATGCTCTTGAAATCCTTCTTGACGTCAGAACTGCGGAAAAGCTCGTCCAGCTGCTCGGTGGGAGGGGGAGGAACAAAGGGAACAACCTGGTTAATGGGGAGATCCTGGGGAATGGATCTTTCCGGGGAAAGATCTGGAGTCTCGGACAGTCTCCTTGGTTTCAACCCACAGGGGTTTGCATCCAACCCTTTGCAAGACACAGACACACAGAGGACAGGGCTCTGCTGTGCTGGGTGACAATTCCAGGTGGTCCCTATTCTTTAAGGTAAGGACAGGATCCATAAATAATGTGGGACACCCCGTGGTACCTGTGAGGAGGAGCAGAACAGAGCCAAAGCAGAGACACCTTGCAGCTCATCCAGGGATTTTCTATTGTGTGGCATCTAAGTCTTCCTGATCTCTTCCAAAGCTGTGTAAACCTGCTTAGGCACTTTGGAAAATCCCATAAAGCCCTATTCTGCATCTTTAAGTACCTGCCTGCCTTTTAAAACTTGGCTGTTGGATACTGCAGGATTTGTCTGAAGTCACATGAAGGAGACAGTGGCAGTGCAAGGCTCACAGCAAGTCAGGGCTGTAACACCCCTGCCAGCTGTCTGTCCAGGTTGGTCTGTCCACCAATTCCTTCCTCTGGCTTCCAGGCAAAGACAGAAGACAGTAATTAACTGATTAATGGTCCCATGGCACAGTCTCCCCCTTTAAATTTGGAATAGTGAGCAGAGGGGTGAAGGAGCACATCACATCCCTGGGCAGGCTGCACAGGGAACAGGTCTCTGCAGCACAGGGCTGTGGCAGGAGCTCTCAGCCCAGCCACAGATGCCTTTTGTGCCATGGTTTCATGTTGCCAGCCTGGGAAAACAGAAACCAGCAAAGGCCCTTAATGGATGAACCCGTGAATGAAGCTTTTGTGTGCACGTTTCCATCCTGGGCTGTACTGGGAGACACTGGTATTGTGCTGCAGAACTGCAGGAGCCAGCTGGTCCATGTGCCAGGCACACATCTGCTGGTGTGACTGCACTGAGGGCTTGCCAGCTTTCTGTGTGCAGCTTGGAACCCGCTCTAAATGTGTTGATGTCCTTGCAAAGATGGTTTGTGTTTGCTGTGCCACCCTGCAGGCTCCAGCAGAACGTTGTTACCTCGCCCAGCACCCCCAAATGTACACACTGCCACCCAAAATCCACATACTCCTGCAGCTGGCAATGCAGGGGGTTCCCCTCAGGGATGGGAGGCTGGATTTACACAAGCAGCTTCCCAAGCTGTGGAGCTGAACCACAGGGTGAAGGGGTTCTGGATGTGTTTTTAACTCAGGGTTTTCCCTGGAGATAAGGACACTTTGGGAAATCCAAGGGGTTAAGGCAGAACCTCTTGCCTGAACTGTCCCACCACCGTGGTCAAGCTGAAGAAGGATTTTGAACTCAGAAGGATTTTTTGACCCAGCACAAAGGGAGGTTGTGGCCAGGCGGGGGTCGGTCTCTTCCCCCAGGTAACAGGATGAAAGGAAATGGCCTCAAGTTGCACCAGAGGAGGTTTAGATGGGATATTAGGAAAAAATTTCTTCACCAAAAGGGTTGTCAAGCACTGGAACAGGCTACCCAGAGCAGGGGTGGAATCACCATCCCTGGAAGTGTTCAAAAAACACGAGGATGTGGCACTTCGGGACATGGTTTGCTGGTGAACACAGTGCTGGGTTAATGATGGACTTGATGGCCTTGGAGGGCTTTTCCAGCCCTTATTCTGTGACTCAGTGACTCCACGGTGTGGCAGGGCCCCCTCTTTTGCCGAGGACAGAAGATCCCTGCCCTGGAACTCACCGCGCTCTCGATGCTCCGGGCCGTCTCCCCAAAGAGCTCCGACTTGGGGTCAGCCATCTCCGGGGTGTAGAACAGCTCCTGGCCTTCCACCTCCTCCAGGATGAGGACTCCTTGGAAGACTTTGGTAGCTGTGGCAGGGAGGGAACACAGTACAAACACCTTTAGTTTGGGTGGGCAGGGGGGGAGGCGTGAGGCCGAGAGCCGCCAAGAGCATCCGAGTCCCTGGGGAAGGGGGATGGCAGTGTGTGGGTAGTGCCAGTGCTGGGGTTAGTCTGGATGGGTCTGGGAGAGCCATGGAGGATTAGTGTCACAGGGTGCTGGAGCAGATGGCAAAGACCAGGCTGGAGATGGCAGCTTTTACCATACGGGTTCCTCTGAGCTCCGGCCCGGAGAGCAGCCCCCCTGCACCGGCTGAGTGACAAGAGAGACACATTAGCAGGACAGTCAGCATTCCAGGACCAGACACGGGCATGCACAGGGCACAGGAGGGAGAAACCTGGGCTCTGGACAAGGAGAAGACCTGTGCTGGGAGAAGGAAGGACAGAGCCTTCCAGGCCAGCCCTGCCAAACCCAAGCGAAACTGTGACAGGTCCCTTCCAGGGGGGGCAGTGGGATGCAGAGAGATCCCACTGTGGGTAACCACGTGGGAGGGTCCCTGCAGCTGTTGGGGGTTGAAAGGGGAATGTGGTGTCCAGAGGAAAAGGGGGTGTCCTGCTGGAAACCACAAGGGCACTTGGGAAGGACCTCAGTGAGGAAATATCTGGGACACAGCCCCAGAGCACCGATTTTCAGGGTAAGGAGGATGGACATCTTCTGACGGAGCAGAGGTGGGGCTGTGCTTCCTCAACATGTGGAAAAGGACTGTGAGCAGGAAAAGAGATTCCAGCTGGATCAGGGGAGCAGAGCACACCCCTGGGAACCACTGTGACAGTCAAGCAGCTCAGAGCCCCCAGGATGCCCATCAGGGACCCCAGGGGTACAGCTGCTCTCCCCCCAGCACCAAACTGGTCCTGGCCCCAGCTCCCTTTACAGCCACTAACACAGGGAATCCAAACAATTCCCTCCTCTACCCTAGTGCCAGTGGAGAGATTGGCAGAAGCCTGGGCAAAGCACTGGTCAAATTTTTAAGGCTGTAGCAGTCAAGGAGGAAGGTGGTCACCTGAGGGAAGAGAATAGCAGTGCTCCGGCTGCCCACGTGAACAGCAGTGCCCACCCGAGCACCAGGGCTGGTTGCTGGGGGCTGTGGCAGGTTGGCACCGTGTCTGGCAGCTGCTGTGGCTCAGCACATCCCCGTGAACACCCCCTTCAAGGGACACGCCAGCCCCCGGACGGGGCACGGGACCGTCCTCGCTGCCAGCCGGGCAAGCACAGCGCCGTGCTGCCCTCCCTGCTGGGCATCTCCCCGTGGCACCCCACATCTCAGCCTGACTCCTGACCCCCCACAGGGACCCCCAGAGCCCAACCCCGGGACAAATTCACCTGGGCAGTTGCTGCCCTCGGCGTCGGCAGCCGCGGTCTTGCCGTCGGAGCAGCATCCCAGCGGGGCGTTGTAACACGTGGCCCTCTCCACGGCCGGGGTGGGCGTCACCTGCCCTTCCTCCACCTCCTCTTCCCCTGCAGGGGCACCAAGAGGAGCGTTCACCAGCAGCAGTAAGACCTCCCCTCTGCGTCAGAGAACGGGGCTGAGCCACAGCTCACACACACACAGGGTTTGGCCGGACCCACGAGCGGCCCCAGAGCGCCCACTCACCGGCAGAGCCCGCCCCGCTGGACTCCTGGTCCCCGCTGGCGCCCATCTCCTGGTCCCCACTGCCCTCAGCACTGCCCGACTCCCCGTAGGCAGGCTGGGGGGTGGCCAGGACCACCGGGGCGGTGGAGAGAGGCCGCACCGTGGTCTTGTGCCCGCCGTGGGTGGCCCAGGGCGTCGTGGCCGGCCTGGCCGTCGTGACGCGTCTCGTCGTGGGGTGACCCCGTTCCGTGGGCTTGGCTTCCAGCGGCGGGGAGCTGGTGGCCACCTCGGTGGGCTCTGGAGCCTGGGTGGTGAGGGGCAGGGGCGGGGGGAGGATGAGCCGGTCCAAGGGCAGCGTGGGCAGCGGCGTGGGAGGCGACGGGTGGCTCGTGTGGGTGATGGACTCTGGAAGGAGCAGCAAACAGGGCGGGTAAGGAGGGGGGCACCTTCCGGGAAAGGCTGGCAGCGGCACTGGGAAGCAGGTTGCAAACCCGTGACTCTGGTTGGGAACCCTCAGGGCACCTGCCCTGGGCAGGAAATGTCAGGAAATGCCCTGGCACTGCAGAGGAAAGCAGCCAGACCTCAGGTCACGGGGCTGGCACTGCCCCAGCCCCCCAGAGCAGCGGGCACTCACCGTGGCACTGCCCCACGTGCTTCACCGTGATGACCTGGCCCTGCCTGCAGGCGATGGTCCTCAGCTGGCACTGGTCCCCATAGGTGACACCGTCAGAGCCACACACCTGGGGGGCAGAGAGGACACGTGAGCTGTGCCTCTGTCCTCCTCCGAGCAAAAGAAACTTGTCTCTAAATGCTGGGAGAATTCTGAGGCAGAGGGGACACGTGAGCTGCACCCCCTGTCCTTCTCCAGGCAAAATAAACCGGGCTCTAAAGGCTGGAAGGATTTGGAAGGAGTCCCTCTGAGGCGCAGAGGGGATGGTCTGCACAGAGGGACCCGAGGTGGGCTGTGGGAGGTCAGAAGCAGAGCGAACTCAGAGTTCTCAGGTGGGGGACAGAGCATCCAGCTCTGCTGGAGACATCTACCCTTGCACATCCCCCTTCCCCACGCACCAAGGCAGGGACCAAACCCGCCCTCCTGCTTCTTGTGGGGGGAAGAGACACAAGACCCCCACGCTGCCTGACACAGATGAACCCCCACAGGTCCCTGCTCGCCCCCCTGAGCCCCCCAGGGCTGCCTGTCCCCCAAACCTTGGTCATGTTGGCCTCTGAGCACAGCGGGGACGGGCACTCGCAGTGGGCAAAGCCGTTGACCTCCACGCACGAGGCCCCAAACTCGCAGCTCATCTCCTCGCAGGATTTTGGGGCCGAGGGGTCTGGTGGGGTAGGAAGAAGAGGTGATCAGAGCACACAGAAAGCAAAATCCCTCCCCTCCTGGTGCATCTTAGCTCTCCCAAGGACCCGTTTCTTGGTGCCCCTCACCTTTCTCGCAGCCAGTCATGCCCAGTTTGCTGCCGTTGGGGCACTGGTTGCACTTCATGCCAGTGATGCCAGTCTTGCAGGAGCACAGCCCCGTCATCTGCTCGCAGTCATCCCGCACTGACCCCACGGGGTCGCAGTTACAGGCTGGGAGAGAAGGGCAAAACCACACTGTTGTGCTGGGGGGTTCATGGAGCCGACTGCAGCATCACCCGGGTCCCTCTGGCACGGGGCACGTCACCCAGCTCTGCAGGACAGCTGCTGGAGGTGACTTACAAACAGTCACTGCATGGCTTGTGACAGGACAAACAGCTGCTGGAGGTGACTTACAGTGGGACAAACAGTCACTGCATGGCTTGTGACAGGACAAACAGCTGCTGAAGGACTTGCAATGGGACCAACAGCCACTGGAGCTGACATACAACAGGACCAACAGCCAGTGGGGGACTTGCAATAGGACAAACAGCTGCTGAAGGTGACTACAATGGGACAGTGACTGGATGATTTACAATAGGACAAACAGCTGCTGGATGACTTACAATGGGACCAACAGTCACTGGAGGTGACTTACAACAGGACAAACAGCCACTGGAGGACTTGCAATGGGACAATCACTGGAGGTGATTGATAATGGGACAAACAGGTGCTGGAGATGACTTGCAAGGGGACCAAGTCACTGGAGGTGCCTGACGATGGGACCAACGTTGGGGCTCACAGTTTTAACATCAACACCCTGACACCCGCCCCGAGCAGGCCATGGGGCCGTGCCCGTGGGAGCAGCAGGATGAGGGGTGCTGATGCCCCAGCCCTGCCCCGGGTGCTGCCCCAGCCCCGCCCCACTCACGGGTGCAGCCGCTCTTGCTGTCGGTGACGATGCCGCGGAAGTTCCAGAAGCCCGGCTCGCAGCGGTCGCACTTGAGCCCCCCCACGCCGGGCTTGCAGGAGCACTGCCCCGTGCCAGGGTCACAGGAACCCCCGTAGGAGCCGTAGGGGTTGCACTGGCACGTGCCTGTGGGCAGAGAGAGCCTCAGAGAGGGGCTGAGCCGGGGAGGAGCCCCCGAGCTCCAGCCAGGGTGGGCTCGCGCTGGGCAGGGGGAGGTTCCACCAGCTGCTCCTGCTCCGAGGGGGAACTAAACCTCCAAGGGATCAGCCTGCTGTCATCAAGGACTCCTCTCTCATTACCATCAAAGGGGAAGGAAGCTATTAGAAGTTTATTATTAATTCATTAATTAGGAACTTGATGGAGGGGAGCGATCCAAAGATAGACAGAGAGACGCTTCTCCTCACCCACAGGGAGCAGGGGAAAAGAGACACGGGGAGAAAGGGAGACCTGAGGAGCAGCCAGGAGGGTGCCATGAGCACATCCCCACGCTGCCAGAGGCAGGGAAGTGGCACATCCACGGACAAACCTGCCCCAGGGGCTTCAAGCTGCTGGTTAAGTGGTAATTAGCCCCTGATGAATGATTGCTGCCAGCACAGGGACACAGGTGGGACAGAAACCAGTGGGATACTGAACCCCAGTGAAGTGGGAAGCTGTGCCCATGGACTGGAGGGCAGGATTTCCACCAGAGACACAGAGGATCACCACTACCAGTGTGGTGCTAAAAACAAAATGCTTGTGTCCTCTGTAGCATCACCCTGACTGTCTCCTCTGCCCAGCACCCACCTCAGCCTGCAACACCCCCCCTACTCCTGCCAGGACACCTCTGGACATTCAATGCTGCCACTTTTGAAATTATCCAGCACATTACACAGGACTCCCCCCTCATCAAAGAGGCATTAGCCCAGCACAGGCACAGCACGAGCCGTGTCTCCACGGGGTGATGTGCTCCCTGCCAGGCAGCCACAGCCTCAGCTGTTAAAGGCTTTGCTAATGCCTTTCAAAATGCTCCTTCTGGCCCTGATAATTATTTAATAAATATTAATGAAACGCTGGGCAGCTCGGCTTCCTGCACAGTGCAGTCACCCACCAGTCACTGGTCCTGGGGTGGCCTGTGCAAGGTCCCCAGGTGAACCTCCAAGCTCTGTTCCACCTCATCCTGCAGCTCAAGGACAGGTGGAATATTCCTGTCGCTCAGGCTGGTGAGTCCAGCAATGGGCTGAAGGCACCAGTGGCACAGTCTTGGCCCCAGGGGCACTTCTGGGGGCATCCAGACAAGTTCTGAGCTCCCATCCTGCCTTCCTGCATTTCAAAGGGATTTAGGCCTGGAGGTTGTCTCAGAGCTTTTGGAAGGACAAGAGCATCACCAGTAGATCCAGAAGGGGAACCACACGTGCTGGGAGGTTGTAGCAAGGTGGGGAGTTTGTTCCTCCTCCCATGTAACAAGTGACAGGACCAGAGGAAACGGCCTCAAGTTGTGCCAGGGGAGGTCTAGATGGGATATCAGGGAAAATTTCTTCACTGAAAGGCTGGTCAGGCATTGGAAGAGGCTGACCAGGGAATCACCACCCCTGAAGGTGTTTAAAAAACACGTGGGTGTGGCACCTGGGGACAAGGGTTAGTGGTGGACCTGGCAGTGCTGGGTCAAGGGTTGGACTCCAAGGTTTTAGAAGGCTTTCCCAACACAAAATCCACTCACTTGGACATCCTGCTGCTCCCACTCCGAGTGCCAGGGTCACGTTGTCTGGGCAGCAGCCGTAGATGGTCTGGCTGCAGTGCACAACCAGGAGGGGTGGTGGGGTTGTGGCAAGGGCTGCAGAGGAAGGCAGAGGGGTACAGGTTATTTTTGGCAGGCAGGACACTGCTGGGATGCATGGCCAAGGTATGGATGGAGCAGCAGGCAGCAATTCCTGCAAAACCACACGGAGATTCTGGGAACAGGCCACGAGGCGAGGTCCTGCCCTTAGCCAGGGAGAGCACAGGGCATGGAACAGGAAGGATGCAGCGGGATCAGCAAATGAACAGGGACACAGTGGGCACTTATCCACAGGGAAAGGGCACCAGGCTGGGCACCCCCAGAGCTTGTGCCAGCTTTGGTGGGGAGGGCTGCCATCAGGGGACTCACCACGACAGGCTCCTTGGCCAGTGACATAGAGATCCTGGCGCTTCTCACACCGTGTCTTCTTCAGCTCACACTCGTTGGCGTAGGTGACACCATCGGAGCCACACACCTGCCAGGACAGGGAGGGGCAGCCGCTCAGGGCAGCCCCTGGCATGGGAAGGCGGGTTCCCTATCCCATGGGATGCCCTCTCCTGGCCCAGGGAACCAAGGGAGGAGAAGAGGGGAGGGGAGGGAGGGTGCAGGGGGGCTCACCGGGCTGCGGGGCACGGCCAGGCAGGTGAAGTCGCACACGCAGCGATCGTCCTCGGCGTCCTCGTCCCACCAGCCCCCGAACTGCCGGCACCGGTCCTGCTCACACTCGCTGCCATCCCCGGAGCCAGAGCCCCCCGAGCCACACTCTGCAAGGGAGGACCACCCTGGGGACACAGGGCTCAGCCCCAGCACGGGGGGGAGCGGAGGGGATGGGGCCAAAGCCCTGTCCTGGCACCAGGATGTGCCCACAGCTGCACACACCCGCCCGAATCTGAGTAGATTCAACCTCCTCAGCACAAGCAACCCCAAAATCCCGGGCCAAATATATTTGGATGTTTATGCCCAGCTGTCAGGGAAGATCTGTCTCTCTCTTGGACAAAGCAGGTTCTCCCACCACTGACTGTGCTGAGCCAACACAATGAGAACTGCAAACCTGCTTTAGCCTGAGGTTTTCCTCCTCCAGCATCACTGCAGGAGCCAAACCAAGGCTCCTGCAGCTCCCTGCAGCTCAGCCAGCTGACAGCCACGCACGGGAGGGAGGGCTGCCACCGGCCTTGGTGACAATTTAACTCCATGCTTTGATCCCACTCCTTTTCTTGCTCTCCCAAACGTGCTGAGCACAGGGAGATTGCTGCTGCCGATATGGAGAGCAGAGCAGAGGAAGGGACGGGGTTTGGGTTTAGAAGTTCGGTTAGGGAGATATTTTAAGTACCTAAAGCCTGTCCCCAGCCTGGCTGCCTCTCTGTAAGATGCTCAGAGCTCCAGCAGCAAGAGAGATGTTGCTGATTTCAAAGGCTTCTTAAAGGGGAAGGGTAGGGGGGGGAAGGGAAACCTGGCCCTTTTTATTGAATGATCAAAGGCTGGGATTTGGCATTACACAGAGAATTATTTAAGCTCTTCTCCCAGAGGGACATCAACCTGAAATTCCCCAAGGAGGGCTGTGATCAAACACCATGTTATGTCTTCCTCTCTCCTTAAGCTCTTCCACGCACTGAAGTCCTTTCCAGCTTGACTACATGTGCAACGAGCCAGGGAATCTCAGCTCACCGGAGCGGGGAGGTTTAGGTGCCTCCCTTACATGAATTCAGCCAGCAATAACCCACAGCCTTCCCCAAACTGGGAAAACTCAGCAGGTTCTTAGCTTTTAGCCTGGCCAAGCAAGGTACAGCCAACCCTACAACCTTCCCTGGCACTCAGGCAACAGCACCATGGAATGGGTTGGAACGGACCTTAAGGATCATCTTGTTCCAAGCCCTCTCCTGGGGGCCAGGATGCCATGGGATGTCACCCACTGGACCAGGTCACAGGCCAGGCCCTCAAGCAGCCCCAGAACAGAGGGAAGCAAAGCAGCAGCTGCGCTCCCAGCCCCAGGAATGGCTCTGTTTCCCTGGATGAGACCCTCCAAAGCGTGACATTAAAGCAGCGATAACTCCCTGTCCACCCAATCGGGTGGCATCACCTCCACAATGCTGGGTACAGGGGAAAGGGGGGTGGCAAGCGGGGTGCTGAGTGGGCAGGAGGCATTGCTGGCACACTGTGCTGGGCATTCTGGGGGTCTCACAGGGCACCGTGCCCGAGCTCCACACAGCAGGGCTCCCGTGGCAGCGGAACCCTCCGTCCCCCCTCCCTCTCTCCCTGGTTCATGCACCCCCACACCCTCACACCTACCATCCTCACAGGGCCCCGTCCTGGCCACCTCGATGCTCTTCTTCTGCTGGCAGGAGGCCACGTGCAGCTCGCACTGGTTGTCGTAGGTGAGCCCGTCGGTGCCGCACACCGGGGCCGGGGGCTGGCGCTCGCAGCGCGGGCACACGCACTGCCCACCCACACAGCGGCTGCCAAAGGAGCACACCGTGCTGCCACACGACTCTGGGGACACAGGGGGGAACACAGGCAGGCGTCACGGGGGCTCTCGTGGCCGGCTGAGCAGCGCCACACAGCTGGGGACCACTGACGTTATTGTTTGATTTGATCGGTGCAAAGGCTCTGCAACGGCCAGGTGCCCACCCTGAGCATTCCTGACCCCCCATCAGCACCCACGGGCACTGTGTGCCCACCCTGAGCATTCCTGACCCCCCATCAGCACCCACAGCTGTGGTGTCCAACAATTCTTCCTTACACCACTAAGAAATCCCATTTACTCTCGTGGCGTGTTCTGACTTGAGCCCATGGAGCACTGAGGGTCATCTGTCACACTCAGGCATTCTCTCCCGAATTCAGGGAGGATCTCCACGCACCAGCTCAATCCCTGGAACATCAGACCCAGCTGGACAGGTTTTATGAGGCTCGAATCATTGCTTTTACCCAAACAGCTTTTGCCTTAATGAAGAACCCGGCCAGGGCTTTTAATTCATTAAGAAATTAGCACAGACATTTCCCTGGGCTGGGGAGTGGGGAGGAAACGCGGGAACAAAGAGGAATTAACCCCAGGGGATGGGGGCGGAGGGAAAGCCGTGTGTGATCAAACAGACCCTCAGTGCTTTCAGTTCTGGTGGTGGCCATTAACACGTTTTTAGCCCGATTTCTTCGCTCAGCCCGGTGGACACTAATCCAATTTCTCTACCAAGTAATGGGGGGGGGGGAGAAGATACCACCTACAATGGGGAAACAACTAAACCAGCTGGGGATAAAATTCCTCCTAAGCCACATGGGAAGACCACGCGGGATGAGGCGAAAAGCCCAGCCGAGTGGGTGACCCGCCGAGCCCCGGGTGGGCAGGGCCAGGGGGGGGCGAGCGGAGGGATGGAGGGGACCTTGGCAGACTCACTGCAGTCTCCCTGGGCGGCCACCAGGATGTTGGTCTGCTGGGTGCAGGCTCGGACGTGCAGCTCGCACTCGCTGCCGTAGGTGCGGCCGTCGGAGCCGCACACGGGCTGGGCAGAGGGCACGCACTCGGTGGGGCACACGCAGCGCCCCGTCTCCGCCTCGCAGATGGCCCCGAACTGGCACTTCCCGCAGCGCTCTGTGCGGAGCAAAGGACAAAGCCAGGAGGTTAAAGCAGCGCCGAGGTGGGGGGCGTTGGCTGAGCACAGAGCAGAGACTGCACGGGCTGGGAGGGACCTTAAAGCCCGTCTCGTTCCACCCCCTGACGTGGGCGGGGACACCTTCCACCAGACCAGGTTGCTCCAACCTGGCGTTGGACACTTCCAGGGATGGATCTTGGAGCACCCTGGTCTAGTGGAAGGTGTTCCCTTCCCCCATGAGATAGGCTGTAAGGTCCTGTGCAACCCAGCCGTGGACACTCCCAGGGATGGGGCAGCCACAGCTTCTCTGGGCAACCCGTGCCAGGCCCTCCCCACCCTCACAGGGATGAATTCCTTCCCAATCTCCCATCTAAACCTACTAACGCAGATCTAAACCCACCCAATGCAGAAATGAAACCTCCCTGCTCCCACCTCGAGCCCCTGCAGACACCACAGCTCTCCCGGAGCAGCAGCCCCAGGGCAGAGTGGAAGGGAGGGAGTGAGGGCAGGGATGTGGGAGGAGGGAAAGGCTGGGAGGCAGAAAGGCAATAACTACTTGTAAAAGCCATCAGGGCCAGGAGTAACGTGCTGAAATGTCACCGTGGCTGTGTGCTGGCAGAGCCAGAGAGGAGGTGGGAGAGTGTGGGGCTGAGAGTAATTATGGGGAGCAATAAATCAGCCCCAGCCCCGGGAGGAGCAGCAGAGCCTCCCCAGCAGCCCGGGGGAGAGAGCCAGCAGCATTCCCACACGGCACAGCAGCAGGATGGGAAGAGGAGGTTGCCTGGGAAGAGGGATACCACAGTCCCCTCGTTCATCAGGGCACCAGCAGCGCTGGATGCAGGTGTAACATCAAATGTCACAGTGCCACCTCCCCGGAGGGACCCCCAGCCTGCCGCAGACACACAGGGCACACGAGGGCAGGCTGGGGGCAGAGAAGATGTTTATCATCCTGACAACTCCCTCTCCAAGCAGCTTTCACTCCTTGCAGGAGAGCCCAGACTCCAGCCAGCACCTCCCCTGACTCCCGGGTATTTACTAATTCACGGCTTCATTTTCTCCTTCAGACAAACACCCCTCTTTTTTCCCCTCCCTACCGGTCATTTCAGGAGGAATTTGGCTCCAAGGTGGTTTTCCCTTCTCTTTCTTTCACACGGCAGCTGCTGCCTTGGCATGGGGGAGGGAAGATGCACCAACCCCCTGCTCGGTTTGTGCTGTTGGCCAGGAGGTTTCTATCTATGGCACAAATCCTGCAGCCACACACGGGCTCTGCAGGTCAGGGGAGAGGATGCTCAGGGCAGCCAGCTCCTGAGAGCCAGCCTGAAGGTTTGGGACAGAAAACTGCATTTTGATGAAACTGCAACGAGCCCAGCCCTACCTGAACAGATTCTGTCCCAGGAGAACAGAGTCAGCCCAGGCTGTGCCTGTCTGCAAACACTCTCTGACTGGCAAAGCTGGCACAGAGAGTGAGCCTGCAGATGGAAGTGTCTGGAACAGGCTCCCCAGGGCAGTGGGCACAGCCCCAAGGCTGCCAGAGCCCCAGGAGTGTTTGGACAACACTCTCAGGGACAGGGGGGGATTGTTGGGGTGTCCTGTGCAGGTCCAGGAGTTGGACTCTGGTCCTTGTGGCTCCCTTCCCAATGGGGATATTCCATGATTTGTGCTGTGTAAGGGTCTGAGTTGTATATACAGGGTGGGTTCTTATCAGGGAAGAGGATGAACCCTCCTTACTTCATCCTGTGCCTCCGACCCAGGTACCTTCTCCCCAGGGCACCCTGGGTGAGGCCTGCTGGGTGAGGGGAAAACCCACACCTGCCTCCCCCCAAGCTTTCCTTGGTGAGGAAGGCAGCGTTCAGGATGGACACCAGATTCTCTCCCACCACCTTCCTACTGAACCTGGAGACACACAGCCCCAAACCCCTCTCTCCCCATGGGCACATCTGTGCTTAACTCACTGCCTACTCCCCATAAGGAAAGAGAGGAAGAAGGGGGAAGAGGGAGAGGAGGAGAAGGAAGCCCCTTGAGCTCGTTTCTTACCACAGGGCCCCTTGTGCTTCACCCTGATGTCCCTCTTGAGGACGCAGGCCATGGAGTCCAGCTCGCAGGGGTTGCCGTAGGTGCGGTTGTCGGTGCCACACACGGGGTCGTAGCGGCCCTGGCACACCTGCTGGCACTCACACACGGGCTCCTGGTTCTTCACCACGCACGTGGCCCCAAAGGTGCACTCCACGCTCAGGCAGGGGCTGGGTGTGCCCAGGTCTGCAGAGGGGACACAGAAAGGGCGGCGGGCTCAGCCAGCTGAGCTCCCCCCCCCAGCTCCCCCCCGGGCACTGAGCACAGCCAGGCATGCCAGCAGCCCCAGCCACAGCACCCCCCCACCTGCCTCTCCCCCAAAAGCCACAGAGCTCCTGGCCTTGGCCCCAGCCCATCCCCTGCCCCCTCCATGCCACCCCGACATGCCCGGCTCAGCGTCATCCCCATGCTTGGCAGAGGTTAGGGATGGGAAGCAGGCACAAGATCTTCTCCCTGCACGCCACGAGAGGGACTCCTGCTTCATCTCCTCCACCCCATCCCCGTCCCAGGGACGTTCTGCCCCTAGGAAGTGAGATCAGCAGCACTCACAGAACCTTCAGTAGCCAAAAAGCTCACACAGGGATAGCTCCCTCCACTGAGATCCACGTCCTCGGGATGTCTGTCCCCTGAATAGCTCATCCTAAGCCCAGGAAGACCTGGCTGGAGAGGACACCTGCATTTGGCTCCACCACACCACCCATGTCTCTCCTCTCCCATCCCCTCCTTGTCCTTCCTCAGCCCAGGGAGCTGCTGTGGGGCAGGATGAGAAATGTCCTCCTTTCAGCCCAGTCCTTGGGCAGGTGGCTCCAGCAGAGCCCTGGGACTCCCAGGGGGTGGGCAAAGCCCCCTGGCAGGGGCTGCAGGCTGGGAAGCAGCATTCCCCTCTGCTCAGCCACGGCCAAGCAGGTGGCACCTTCCCCGTGGGGATGCTCAGGGGTGACAAGGTGAGCAGCCAGCACTGAGAGCAAAGAGCAAAGGCCGCGTCCAGATCCCTGGTACAGCTCTGGAAATGCTAGCAGGGAAAGCCCTGGGGTCCCTCCCAGGCAGGAATACCCCTCCAAGAATTGCCCCCACCATCCAGGAGCCAAGCCAGGCAGCTAAAAGGCAGGGGGGACAGACCCAGTCCTGCCCAGTGATGCTTCTCGTGCCTCCAGACAAAAGCCCCGAGGACCTGGGGCAAGGAAAGGACACGGATTTGATCCGTGCTCAACACTGACAAGGACACAGGACAAAACACAGGTGGGGAACACACAATGCAGCCAAGAGGAGATGGAGGCAACAGGCAGACACAGCACAGCCCCACCAACACCCGGCAGCGAGGCAGGCACAGAGGGGAGCGTGGTGGGAAAGGGCCCTCCGGAGCCTCTGGAGTGGCACTGGGCACCTCCCCTGCCAGGACCACAGAGCAAGAGCAAGGTTTGAGCCCTCAGGAGCCTGGCTGCATGCTGGCAGCCAGGGAGGAATGGCCCAGCACGGGCACAGGCACGCCCAGATCAGGGATCCTGCTCTTTGGGAAGCACCTACCAAGTCAAAACTTAGAGCTGAGGGTCTGCAAAGGAACAGGGGAGAGTGGGACAGTTCAGGCACAAAGCAACTGCTCCAAGCCAGCCTTTTCAGCTGTGTGCCCAACTTCCCTGCAGCTGAGGAGTGTGTGAGCAGTCCCCAGGGATAGGGAGCAGCAGAGCTCAGCCCTGTGGTGCTGCTCACATCAGCCTCTGCTTCCCTTTTGGAAACATCCGTCCCATAATCGTGTCCCCCAAGCACAGAGATAAAAGTCTGCATGGAGAAAGTGCCTCTGATGGACACAATCAGGAGAGAGGCATGAAGCAAATACATTCCCTCACCTGAAATCCAGACTCACGTTCCTGCCTTGGGGAGCAAAGGAGCAGCGAGTGGGAGCACGGGGAGGTGCCAGCCCTGATGGAGAACGGGGCCCTGACACTCCCTGCCCTTCTTAAGCAGGGAAACGGGCAGAGATGCAGCACATGAAGTTCCTTCACAGCCCAAATCCCAGGCTGTGAAATCTCACACGCAGCCCTGGGCACCTCCAGACGTCACTGGGAGTTTTGGCACCACTGTGGGTGGATGCAACGAGGACCTACTGAGCTGTGCTAGAATCAAGACCTGCTTTGATTCCTGGCCCTTCTCCATCTCGCAGACAGAGAAACCCAGGCACAGAGAAAGCAAAACGCTTTTTCTGCACCCTGGGAGACTCCAGGGCACGGTCCCTCACCTGCTGCCCAGCTTGGAAGTGTTGAAGACCAGGCTGGATGGGGCTTGGAGCAACCTGGTCTAGTGGAAGGTGTCCCTGCCCCTGGCAGGGAGTGGGACTGGAGGATATTCAAGATGTCTTCTGACCCAAACCATTCCATGCTTCTGTGCAGACACCTAACCAAGCCCCTGGGCACAGTGAGCAATCCTGCCAGCCCCAGCTGAGGATGCCCGTGGAGAAGAGGCTCTGAAGCTGCCTTGGAACCCATCACACCCCATCAACCCCTGCCTGTGACACCCAGCGGGCTCCGGCACCAGCTCCACAGGGAAATATTCCTAGGGAAGAACCACTTCTGAGCACAGAGAGCTCCTCAGTGCTTCCAAAAGGCACGTGGTACTTTGCTGGACACCAGAAAGGGAAGCTGTGATCCCTGCAGAGCCCCTGCCCAGGGGGTTGGCACAGACAAGCAGGACACACACCATGGAGAGCAAAGGGACAAGCACCGCAGTCCCAGGCAGGCAGAAACTCTGGGAAGGAGGAGGTGGGGAAGAAAGGGGGGTTAGTTGGGGGCAAAAGGAGAGGTAAGATCAACCAGGAGCAGTCCAGAGTGATGCAGCAGCCCAAGAGGGGCTTGCTAAGGAGTGGGGGGCTCACAGCACCCACCTCTGCTCCCACTCTCATTTGCCTCGAAGGGTCAAGCACCGGACAAGACCCCAGAGCACTGCCAGGCATTCCCATTCCAGCAGCGAGAGTTTGGGGCCAGGGATGGGAGCAAAAGCAGGGCAACCTCTCCATCCCGGGGGCTCTCAAGCAAAACTAGAGAGGTGGGGAGCAGTGAGAAGAGGCCAGGACTGTCACTGGCCACGGAGAAGGGGGGAGAGCCGACCTCCCAGCAGAGATGTCCGGGTAGGGAGCAGAGGGTGATGCGAGGACACAACTCCTTCCTCCACACAGGCAACACTGTAAAACACAAGACACAGACGAGAAAGGAAAGACAGAGAAAGAAGGAGGGAGAAAGAGGGGAGGGGGAGAGCAAAGAGAGGGAGGGAGGGGAAAAAAAAGATGCAACTACAGACACCTTCCTTCCCTCCACCTCCTGTCCACGTCGGCCTCATCCCATCCCTCCTTTCTCACCTGCACCGTCACGGTGCCAGAATAGAGAAAGATTAAAAACAAGGCTTTTTTGGACTGTTTTGTTTGGCTTTGCCTCCTTTGCTTGGCTGCTGGAAAAGACAGCAGAGAGCCCAGAGTCTATTAGACAGGTATGTGTGGGAGATCAAAACACTGCCCATTCTAACAGGCTCCTTCATTCCCTCCCTTTCCCACCTGCTCCTGCATTCTCCCAGCACCAAGGCATGGATGAACTCAGCAGCACTGAGCTCACAGAGGATGCTTTCCTAAGCTGATGGGGAGTGAAAAAGCTGCCCACACCTCATGGGGGCTGGTTACAGGACTGCCTGGAGCTGTCACACAGACTTTGGAATCCCAGGCTTTGGCAGACAGAGCCCCAGCTTTGATTGATTCCCCCAGATTATGACCTTTTTTTTGCTGCCATCCCACAAGGACGTGGTTCCTGAAAGCAGATGGGCACATCTGCTGTCCTCACCTGGAGGAAGAGAAGTTGGTGGGAAGCTAAAATAAAGTGAGATGGGGAGAGGAATGGCAGGTGCATCAGGACCACGTCCTGCTGTCTGCTGGCCTCCCTCCATGGAACACGGTGGGAATGATGCATGCCTGACAGCAGAGTCACAAGCAGCACCAGTTCCCTGCTCATCCTAGAAATTTGGGAAGCCTCAGCCTCTAAAGGAGGCACAGGGAAGGGTTTGTGGAGAGCCCAGGGCAGCAGGGCTGCAAATAACCACCCCCTGGCCCTGCTGCTGCAGGATCCCAGCCTTCCCTGTAGGGAAAACTTGGGGAACTGACTCCTAAATATTCACCCACCAGAAACACAGGCAAACAGACAATCCAAAACAACAGCTGTGATTGTATTGAGTGTGATTTTGGGAGCCTGACAAACGGTTTTCAAGCAGCTGGGTCTGGCAGCATTAAAAACCTACAGCAGGAGCACAAAGCCAACAAAACAGATCCGCAACATGGGGCCTAATTCCCAAGTACTTCAGGAGGTTTAATGCAGCTGATACCTTATAAAAACATCAGCTTAAAATATCAGGACACGGTTCCAGAGCTAGTAAAAACCAAATGGAGCTGAAAAGAACAGTCCTTCCAAACTCATACAAATCAATCCAGTGATTGCGTTTCAACACCTTTCATTTTCCGTGTGATAAATTTAAAACTGGACATTCCCAACATCCTGGGGACCCAAAGCCCCATCCTATCACATCCTCCTGAAAAAGATCCATTGGAAAGGTCAAAAGCTTCTCCTAGAGACAAGACAAAGACATGGTGAGATCTCCAGAGAGCAGGCACGCTGGGAAGAGTTCCTTATGGAGAGCACCTGGAGCTGAGAGAAGCAGGCAGGCATGGAAGGGGGAGAGCATGGAAGGAGCTTGGAGACTGGCACTACCCTGGGAGGAGGAATGAATGGCATGGGCTGCAGGGAGCTGCGTGGTGGTGGATGAGAGAAACCAGCTGGACGTCACGGACAACAAAAAGATCCTCCCCCGTGTTACTGAGCACATCAGACAGAGACGAGACCACGGGGGAACACATGCACACAACAACACAAGGACTGCTGGAAGGAGAAAGAACAGGGATACTGAGGGCTTGCTGGGACACGAGACCGAGGAGACCCTGTGGCTTGCTCGGTGGGCACCACCCACACTTACCTGCAGCTCCTCCCTGCACGGAAGGACGGGCACAAAGCCGCCGGCAAGGAGGGGACGACGCCGGGAGGGCACCGGCGCCCCGGCGGGTGGGGGTACCAGTATTCCCGAGGGCAGCCAGTGCCGTGCTTACCACAGGGTCCGCTGTGCTTGACGGGGATGGCAGCCTTCTGGTGGCACTCTGCTTTCTGGCGCTCGCAGTCGTTGCCGTAGGTGCGGCTGTCGCGGGCGCAGACGGGCCGGAAGGCGCCGTCGCAGGCGATGCGGTCGCAGGAGCAGCGCGCGGAGCCGCGGCGGTTCAGGCACACCCCGTTGAACTTGCACTCGTCCCTGCACTTGTCTGGGGGTTGGGGGAGAGCACGGCACAGCACGGCTCACATCTGCACCCCCAGGGATATAGAGGGGACAGGGGATGGCGGGGGAAGCGGGACGCGGCGGTCGCGCCAGAGCGGCGAGCGAGGAAGGTCGGGAGCACAGGGAGGGGCACGGAGAGGTACTTACCCTGCTGCTGGCACTGCCCTGAACGCACCTTCTGGATCTCCAGGCCCCGGATGGCCCCCGAGCGCCCCATCACGCACTCGTTGTCGTAGGTGACGCCGTCGTCCCCGCACACGGGCTCCCTCCGGGGCGGGCAGCCCTCGGGGCGCGGCAGCAGCTCCGCCCGCCGGGTGCGGGGGTTCACCCGGCACACGCGGTTCATGTCGTTTAGGACGCCTTTGCAGGGGTCTGTGTGCGGAGCAGGGAGTCAGGCCCCGCCATTCCCTGCCCGGGGAGGTGTTTCCCGGGCCGGGCTCCTTCCCTGGGCGGCCCCAGTCACTCGAGTGCCTTCCCCCCCGGCACTCGGTGTGTGCTCGGCTGGTCCCTCACACTGGGCTCTGCACCCACAGGACTCAGTTTTTACTGGGCTGCCCACACACCACAGGCACGTGCCCTTTCCAAAGGGAGCACTGATGGGATGAGCCCTGCCTTTTTGCCCAGCCTGAGCTGCCTTCACTCCCCTCTGTTTCTCTCCTGAGCCAGGCAAATCTCCAGAGTCCAAAGGTGGGCACCATGGGGTGCTTGGTACTGCCATCCCACTCCTTCCACACTCCCTCCCTCCCTGTCTCCCCAAAGTGCTGGAAGAGCCCTGAAAGCAGCCAGGGCCACAGGCTGCCAAGCCCCACAGCTCTAATCTAAGTTTAGGCTCTAATCTAAATTTAGGCTCTAATCTAAATTTAGGCTCTAATCTAAATTTAGGCTCTAATCTAAGCTTATCTGGATCCCCCTGTCTGATGAGCTGAGCTCACTTCAGCCACACCAAAGACACGAGCAAAACAGATACCTCCTGCCCACTAATCCCTGCTGGAGCCCTGGGATTTATCCCCTCCTTGCCAAGCAGGCACCTGGAGAGTGCTGATTCATTGTCTGCAGCTGCAGAAGCACCACGGGATGTTCCCAGCCTTTAATCCCACTAGTCTGAAATCCAGGCTGACAAGGGGAGGCAACAGTAAAACAAAGAGGGATGTCCCTTTTGGCCATCCCCACATCCCCATGGAGAAGGCTGGCCCAGGACAGGGTCACAGCTGAATTCTTTTGCTTTGCCCATTTTAGTGTGGAAATTAAGTGGTTGCCTGTCCCTGCTCTGCCCTACCTCCAGCACATCCTCAAGCCTTACAGCAACACCCACCAGAGTCCAGATAACCCCTTTTTTCCCCAGATTTTCAGGTTCTACAGCCCAGCTGCTCAGCCCAGACTGCCTGAGCTTCTGCTGGTGCCCAGCTGAGATCACGAGGTGCTCAAAAGAGGCCCAAAGCTCATTCTCTGCCCTAGAAACCTGGAGCACCCAACGTGACATCGCCTCCTTCGCACCTCCCGCTTGCACCCCTCTTGCCCCACTTGGAGCGGTGAAAGCACAATTCCAGCTCTTCCAGGTTTCCAGCCTGCCCCAACACACTCCCACGCTCCTCTCCCTGGGGTCAAACACTGGTCTGGCACGTGCCTTGGCTGATCTCTTGGTTTTCCTAATGAATACAGCTGCTTTTAATTACCCAGTGCCCACAGCCACCACGAGCCAGAGAGGAATCCACCCTCGGAGCTCGGGACTGTTTGTGCTCCGGGATCTGTGCCTGGCAGGATGCTTTAATTAGCAGGAGCTGCCTGGGATGCTGGTGAGCAGCAGGCTCCCTGCCAAAAGCACAGCCCGGGGACTGCGGTCAGGGGAACAGCAGGAGGGAAAGGAGGTGGCACAGATGTTGGAATTGCTCTCTAGGTCAGTGGGTCCCAAGCACAAACAATTGCTGCGGGGGAAGCACTGGCTTGCTCCGAGTTTCAGAAGCTGTCACGCGCAGACTGATCTTTTTCTCCCTAAACCGACCCGTTTCTGCCCAAACCAACATTTTTTGCTGTCCAAACTGACCTTTTTCTGCCCAGACTGACCTTTCTGAGCTGACAGCACCGGGAGCACAGCCACGTTTTCCTCCCCAACCCATCCCCTTTCCCACTGGTTTACCCTCAATATCCCTAACCCAGGTGGAAACATTTTTAAAACCCTTCACCCCCCAGCTATTCAAAGGCCCCAGGGAGGGGCAGAGGACTCACCACAGAGGCCATCAAACTTCTTGAAGACGTTCTCCTGCTTGTCACAGGCGTGCTTGTTGAGGTCGCACTCGCTGCGGTAGTCGCGGCCGTCGCTGCCGCACACGGGATTCTCGGGAACGCCGCTGCAGGAGGACGGACACACACACTTGGCCGACTGGCCATCGGTGGAGCGGACACAGGTGCTGCCAAAACTGCAGGTCACCTCTGCACAGGGGTCCTTGGAGCCTGTGGGAGAGAGCGGGGGGGGCACGGCACAGGCGTGAGCACGGCGAGGGCGCTCCCGCTCCGCGCTCCTTCCTCCCACGGGACAAATAACCCCGAAGTGTCCCGGTATCAGCCAGGCAGCCCTACCCCTCCAAGTGCCCAAAAACATGCACAGCACCAATAGATGTCCTCCCATCAGCTTCAGCCCAGCTGCTCCTGAGCAGAGCTCGTCCCCCCCGATGAGTGGTGACGCTTGCCCACGGAGACAGGCGGGATGGTAAGGCTGCAGGATCAGCCCCAGCCCCACAAAAGGGAGCTCCCTCCTCACCTGGCCCTTCTCCTTTCCTCTCTAAACCTCTGAGCCTCACTACTGCAGGCTCCCTTCCCTGCACAGGCTCTCTGAGAGCCTCTTGCTCCAGCCTTGAGGACCCTCAAGGCACCTCCTGCAAACCTTAATTAGAGAAAGAGCTCGAGGAGCAATTTCCTCACAGATGAGGAAGGGTCAAAATTTGCCAGCTTTTTTTTTTTGATTTTATTTTTTTTTTGCCTTTTTCCCCCCTTTATTTGTCACTTTATGATTATGATTTTAAATAAATCTCTCGGTGCTCTCTCCCCTGTGCCAAGAGCCCCAGCAGGAGGGCCGGGTGTGGATTTATTGCAGAGCCAGCACGCCGAGTGAGGGAAAGGTCAAGTTAATTTACTCAAGAGATGAGGAGACCGGGGGGTCTCATTTACACAGCTCCTTGCTCACAGCTGGTGAAGGCCAGGCTGGGGAAGGGCTTTTATCAGCCCACCCAGCCCCTGCATGAGCCAGCTCCCACTTCCAGCTGCGGCAGATGTGACCCACCCTGGGGAGGTGGGGTGGGGCAGCAGGTAGAGATGTCACCCCCCCCCCTTCCCTCAACAGCCTCTGGCCATCATTTCACCTTCTTACTCCACTCTGCTGATCACCAGGGCAGAGCTGGTGATCCCCTCAGTGTCCCCTCCCATCCTCCAGGACATCAGGGATGCCCAGGAGTGGGCTGTTCCTATGGGGCTGCCATGCACCCCCTGAACAGCCTTTGGCCATCACTTTGCCTTCTTATTACACTCTGCTGATCAGCTGGTGATTCCCTCCGTGTCCCTCCCCATCAGACACGTCCCCATCACCCAGGACCCCACCAGTGATGATGTCAGTGAGCTCAGGACAAGTGTCCCTGGACCCTCCACGAGGAGATCCTGTCCTCACTCACCACACGGTCCCTTGCTGATGACCTTGATCCTCCTCTGCTGGTTGCACTGAGCCTTCTCCAGCTCACACTCGTTGCTGTAGGTGGAGTAATCGGAGCCACAGACAGGGGCCACCACGACAGGACAGGCTGTTTTCTTGCAGACACAGGAGGCCTGGGAGGGGTCGCTGGAGCTCCTCTCACACACGGCCCCAAACCCACACAGCATCCCCCGGCACACTGCGGGCACAGACACGGAGAAAAGGGTGAGCCACGGCCCCTCTGCCCACAGGAGGGGTCCAGAGGGATGCACCCACCCGTGCCAGCCCCCTCCCTTCCCTGGCAGAGCAGCCCACACCATCCAGGCTCAGGACAGGGAGTGCTACAGCCCTCAAGGGTACCCAGACTTCCAGGAGGATGCTCCAGGCACAGCAAGGTCCTTTCCTGGCTTAGGGCAAGGATTTCACCACCTTGGCACGTTGCCTCTTCCTGCCTGCCAGGGGGTTAAGCTGGGTTCTTCTCCAGGGAGACCACGGGTGACACGTTTGGGGTGTGGGGGCACCCAGCCACAGTTCCAGAGCCACTCACCCCAAAGCCACGAGAACAAGGGTGTGCCCCACCAGGGCTGCTGTACCCTGGGCTCCCAACTCCTGCCTGTGCCCAGCAAAGACAGAGGCAAGCTCAGCACTTGATCCACAGAGCACAGAGGCCACGGGGAAGGGCAGCATGGAGCTGACTGAGCCCTGCTGCCCTTTGCGAGGCAGAGGATGTGCCAGGCACCTTCATCCCACGCGAGGGTAGGGAGGGAAAAGGCTGGGGTGCAGCACAGCCCAAAGGGAACTAAGACACCCGTGGTTTTGTCCTCTCTGTGCCCCTTCTGCTTATTGTCAGCATGAACTGGAGAAAGAAAGGTCTGTCCCCAGCCCTGCAGCCCAGCAGGGAGGTCAAGGGCAGCAGGGAGGTACCTCTGATCCCACTGCACAGAGGAGCATCCCCAGCACTCCAGGAAGCTCTGCCCAGGATCCCTCTGATCAAGCTGAGTCTTCCACAGCACAGCTGAAAGCATTTTCTGCTCACCAGCAAGGGAAAGGGAAGGCAGGGAACCAGAAGGAAACGTCCTCACCTGTCTCAGTGTGGGACAGATCATCCCACACACACACACTCTGCTTGATTTACTGCCGTGTATGCAAAGCAGCCACACCACAACTCCCAGGGAGATGCAGGAATCTCTTTATCACATCCACTAATCAGAGCAGCCAGCACAGGCCAGTTCAGCATCTGAATTGCTAATGTGGCAGGAGATGTCATCCTTCAGTGGGAGGGAGGGAGAGAGGGGGCAGATGTCTCCAAACCCAGGGGGCACAGGTGAGAGACAGAGAGAGCGGGAGATGCCAGAGCTTTGTGCCCCTTGGGTGTGCCACAGGCACAGCCTGACGCTCACAACATGCCCTGCTGGGCAGGTAAATGCCATAGAATCGTGGAATATCCTGAGCTGGGAAGGAGCCACAAGGATCAGAGTCCAACCCCTGGCCCTGCACAGACACCCCAACAATCCCACCCTGTCCCTCAGAGCGTTGTCCAAACACTTCTGGAGCTCTGGCAGCCTTGGTGCCCTGACCAAACCCTGGGGAGCCTGTTCAGTGCCCAACCACCCTCTGGGGGAAGAACCTTTCCCTGATACCCGACCTAACCCTGCACTGGCATCACCAGCACAGCACCCACCACCCCCGGGCACCCCTCACCTCCCCGTGCCCTCCCCCTCACGCAGCCCAACGTCAGAAATGGAGATTGACCTACATAATGAGAGAAAGAGAAATCATAAAAGGCAAAATAAAATGCTCAGCAGCGGCTCATTTACACTTCAATTCCCGGGCGTTTGGCTCCGGCTGCCTCGAGATTCCCGAGCTCACACGCGCGGCAACAATGCGCCACTACAGGCTAATATCGTGAAATAAAAAAGGAACTCTCTTCCTCTCCTGCCCAATATCTAAAGGCAATTCATCATTTTTATGAAGCTCTCTGGATAGTCTCTCCTGCACTTCCCACTGCTGCTCTTTCTCCCTTTTGATTTTTATTTTTTTTTTAAATGCAGATGAGCTGCGAGATTAGAGGGTGCAGGGGAGGCGTCCGAGTGGGAAAAGCAGGATTTATCCCGTTCCCTCCACCCCCAGGCACAGGTCCGTGGAGCAGGGATGTACCTGTGATGCACCTGCGGCTGAGGTGGAGCTGCCCTGGAGCTCAGAGGGATGGAAGGGAGCTGGGGTGTGCAGATGTGGGATGCAGAGCCAGGTGTGGGATGCAGAGCCAGGTGTGGGATGCAGAGACATAAGCAGGATGCAGAGCCAGCCTGGAGTTCAACCAGGTGCCTGCTCGAAGGTGATGGGGAGAGGTGCCCATCTGAAGCCACTAGATGGGAAACCAAGGTGGGAAGCACATCCAGGGTTTTAAAGCAGGTGGCAAAGACAACTCACTCCTTCCCTGAGCTCTTCTGTTCTTGCCTCAGAGTGTGGGAAAGGAGCCTCACACATCCAAGGCAGGGGCTGCCAGGTCTGGTCCCACCCAAGCTGGAGAAGTTTTTGGTAGGAGCCAGTTCAGAGCGGCACAAACCACCCCAAAAACCCCAATCCCAAGACCCTTGCTGCTGTTTTTGGCTGCATTTCCTTCCCACCTGGCTCGCACTGCCCAGGGAAGTGGAGCAATCACCATCCCTGGAAGTGCTCAGAAAATGTGTGGATGTGGCACTTGGGGACATGGCTGAGTGGTGAACACTGTGCTGGACTCAAAGACCTTGGAGAGCTTTTCCAACCTCATTGTTTCCATGTTTCTATAATTCTCTGCACCAACAGCACTTCTGCCTTTGGTCCCTGTGCTCCACAGTTTCCAGCCTGTGAACTGGGCAGGAAAAAAAAAAAGCTTTCAGCCCTGGACAGGACTTCAGAAGAAATGAAAACACTGCTCATGGCTTTGCCATGTCTTCTTCAAAGACACTTTTAAAATTGTTCTTTTAGATTTGGAGCCAAACTGGGTCCTGTCACCTTTTAAGTGATCCTCCCTCTAATTATTTCACCTGCATATTTTAAAGAATCTCTTCATCTGAAGTGATAAAAGCAATGGTAAACGACAGAAAGACCACCATGTATTATCAAGTTAATTGGGTCAAGTCACATAAAGAAAACTGCTATTTTATAAGTCTCAGTCTATCCTTACCCCCAGAACTGTATTTCACAAACACTTTTATTTCATAAACACTTCAGGAACATAATATGCCAACAAGTGAGCAAAAGAGACGATATAAAAGGTATTTATTTACCTCCTGTTCCACATCAGCTGAATGTTGTACCAGTGAGCTGTTACAGCCCCGGTGTTTGACAGACACCTTCCCACTCCCTGCCAACCAGCTCCAGCCCTGGGAGAGCAGGAATCACAGAGTCATGGAATGCTTTGAGTTGTAAGGGACCCTAAAGACCATCTCATTCCACCTCCTGCCACGGGCAGGGACACCTTCCACTAGCCCGGGTTGCTCCAAACCCCGTCCAACCTGGCCTTGGACACTTCCAAGGATGGGGAGTCCACAACCTCCCTGGGCAACCTGTGCCAGTGACTCACCACCTGCACAGAGAAGAATTCCTTCCTGATATCCAATCTAAATCTCTCCTCTTTCACTTTAAAACCTTTTGTCCTATCACTTGTTCAAGGCTGAGCTTCAAAACTGGAAAGGGCAGCGGGGCCGTGCAGGGAGGTGAGAGCACAGCTCTGGTTAAATCATCCCAGCGCTGCAGAGACAGGCCACAGCGAGGCATTTGGCAAACAATGACAGCAGCACTTGTCTGGAGCCAAAAAAAGCTCGGAGCTGACCTTTCCCAAACCTCCTGAGCCGCCAGAGATGAGGGAGAGAGGCAGCTCAGTGAGGTATCCATCCAGCACTCCAGCGAGCTGCAGGGAACAAAAGGGAAGGGCTCGGGCTCATTGTCACCACACTGAATTCCAGCCAAGCCTCTCCCTGGCTCTTAGCAGCACTGGAGCAGAAAGGGGATAATAAATAATAACAACAACAAGAAGAATAATAGAAATGAGTTTTCTAGAGAGGAAGGGGAAAGCAAAAAGGTGTCGTCACAAATTATTCACGTCCCCGCACTTCCCACCCCGGCTGAGCCAGCGGGATTCCACAGGCAGCTCCTCAGCCCCAGGCTGGGCCTGAAAAGGCTTTGGGAAGAGATCAAGGCTCGGGGAAAGACCTGCCTGGGTTCAGAGCCTCGGCTCCAAGTCAGGTGTGCTGTGCCCTGAGGCTCTGTGAGGATCTGCCTTCCAACCTGCAGTGACCTCCTGGTTCAGGGAACCAGCATAAAGGGATGCTAAGGAGGGCTCCCTGTCCTCTGGTTAATTTGGGAAGGTGAGGGGCACACCAGCCTCTCCTCTGAACAGTCCAGACAAGAGGAAGGACACTGCCACAGCCTGGAGAACAGGCCATCCAGTCCAGCTCCTGGCCCTGCACAGACACCCCAACAATTCCACGTTGTCCAAACGCTCCTGGAGCTCTGGCAGCCCTGGGGCCGTGCCCACTGCCCTGGGGAGCCTGTTCAGTGCCCAACCATCCTCTGGATATTTCCTAATATCCAACCTAACCCTCCTCTGGCACAGCTTTGTGCCACAAGCAAAGAAAAGGGGAAAGGAGGGAGGTGACAAGGAGCCTCTGGGAGCCCACCCGGGCCAAGAGCTGTTGGCAACATCAGAACCAAGCTGCTCCTGCACAAAGAAGAACAACTGCCCACAGCACCAGGTGTAATGACACCAGTCCCAAAGTGCCACCCCAGCCACGACACCTCCTCAGGCAGCCCCTAATTAGCAGCAGGGAGTGACTGGGATGCTTCATTACCAGGGAGGGCCCTGCCAAGGTGCAGCTCAGCATCTCCCCGAGCAGGTGGCTGGTGCTCCACGAGTGGCTGCCAGGGCAGATGGCACCAGCTCCACCTCCTCGTCTCCAACAGTGCCTGCAGATGCCCAAAACGGCTGGAAGGACAGCTGGGAACAGGATGGATCCACTGTGGCCAAGAGGAAGGGCAGAGCCACCCTGAGAGTGGCCACGAGCCACCCACGGCTCTGCTCTGCAGAGGGAGGTGGGAGTTGGTGTGGGGATGCGGGAGTGGAACAGTGTGGGGATGCAGGAGATGAAGCAGTTTAGGGATGCAGGAGCTGGGTTGCTGTGGGGATGTGGGAGTTGGTAGGGGATGCAGGAACTGGGT